AGCTGACCATGTAAAGCGCAAAAAAAACAGTGAAAAGTGAAAAGCACGCATCCAATCATTCGTGGCAGTTTGCCCCCTGAAGCAGCGAGTTGGAGCTGGAGGTGCTGCGCATTTCTTTGTGTATTCGATTCGGCGGTGGCTATCGCTGCTTGTGCTGACTACCAGTCAGGGTTTCATTCCAAGCAAACCAGCATTTTTCAAAAAGCCACGACCGAAGACTTTCTTTTTTTTGTCTCTAATCTGACAGATTACGGAGAACTCTTCCCGACTTCAATGCCCATTGCATCGTGTCAATTCACATGTGGACATTTCTTTGTTATGGTAGAAATAATAATTCATCAACTCTTATTCCCTCTTCTCCTCTCTGCAGCAGCCGCAGACAGCGAGACAACAAGCAGGCAGACAGACGGGTGGTGTAACGGGTGGTGGTGGTGGTGGTGGTGTGGGAGCATATCCAAACACGGCCCGAGACAACCGACTTAACGCGAGCAGCCGGCGAGCCCGAGCACCACATGTTGAGAGAGAATAGCGAATGAAGCAGACTCCGATCTCAGGCTGCCGTCAGGGGGAATCTACACGAGAGATTCTCGTTCTGTGACTCTGCTTCTGTCTTTGTCTGTTTTCTCTCTCTCTCTCTCCCCCTTTTCTTTATGTTATCCTTAATGAACTCCTCTGCCCCCCTCCCCCTCGCCCCCGCTCCCTCTCTTCCCTCCCATACTTCAAACTTCTTGCATTCCCCTTTCTGCTTCCTCTCTTCCTCCCATTTTCTATTGTCTCCATACATCTCCTCCCTTTACTTCCTCTGCCTCTCTTTATCTCCCTCTCTTTTCAATGTACACACATAACAGTGTACTCTTTAGGAGGGAGCCACGGCGGTATCTATGGCAACCGGATTGCTAGGCAACAGCCGATTCTCCCTTCCTCTCCTGCGCCGTGCAGCGGCGGCAACAATCAACCAATCAGGGGCTGAGGAGGAATGCCGGGGTGCGCGTGAAAAAAGTTCAGAAGACATCCACAGAGCGCCGAGTGCTCTCCACCTCCACGTGTGTTGTCTGAACGTGGAGAAAAACGACGTGATTGAACACAAAATCAATCAGTTCTTTCACCCGCGATCTGACTGAAAATGTGTTATGACACAGAACGCGCCGGAAAATGGAAGTTTAATTAGAAAACTTGTTTCCTCCGAAATGCAAAACTCGAAGCCCGAAGCTGCTGTGCACGTGCACGTGCACGCGCCGGCAAATAATCGTCAATCTGTGCACGCGTACATCCAATTACACCTCTGCGCACTCACCACCGAAGAAGACCCGTTAAACGCAGGCCTTTGGGGCAATTTGGAAAATAAATCACCCGATATCTGCGAAACTTTGAGAGAATTTGGAAAGTTTTGGTGGAAACGTGGTTCCCTGCACGAGGCAGCGGGCAGACAAAGACCGGTCCCAGGGGAGACACATAAGCGGCCGTGCGTCGGTTAAAGAGCTGGATGCTTCAAATCCACAGAAGGTGAAGAGAGAAGAAGAAAAGGAAGCAGGCACTGTTGCTTATGGAGTGACAATAGACACGCGGCGGGGAGGGGGGGGGCCATTTTGGGCTCTCGCCGTTGTTCTGCGTTGACGTTGGTTGATCAGAATTCGTCCTTCACTCCTCAGCCTGCAGGAGGAGGACGAGGAGGCCATTTTGAGACACACGGAATAAAAAATAAAAAAACCCCACAACAACTAACAATGGGCGAGTTGTAGAAGGCGCTGACCTTCAAAGGGCTCAATTACATGTCACACACACACACACACACACACACACTCAGAGTTGGGCATGATTGCACATACAGCACAGTCACACGGCTCGATGGCACACAAAATGCACGTGTGTGTGTGTGTGTGTGTGTGTGTTGTTTGGATGTTTCTTAACACACTCATACGTGCACACACACACACACTCAGAGGATCCCTGCTGCTCTCCACTGTGGGACCGTCTGTCCGTCCAGATAAAGTGCCTCTGAATCTCAGCTCTGATTTGTGAGGGGCATTTAATGACAACTGCCCCCCCCCCCACCTCCCCACCCCCCTCCCCCTCTCTGTGTACCCACAAAAAACAATTTTCAGGTGGACTATACAGGACCGACCTCTAAAGTAAACATCCCCCATATTCGTCTACTTCTCCTCCTCCTCCTCCTCCTCCTCCTCCTCCTCTTCCTCGTCTTCCCCCCACCCCTCCCACCGTCACATCAATGCCAGAGCAGCCCCCTCCCTATCCAACTGTTCCCCCCTCCCTCCCTCTCCACCTCCAACCTTCTGTTCAGAGAAAAGGGAAGAAGAAGAAGAAGAAGAAGTGTAAAAAAAAATATTAAAAAAATAGGAAAGTAGTTTGAGGTGCGGTCATGAATTTTAATGGGACGGCTCATTTTGAGCAAATAGTACATCGTCTGGGATTCAGATATACGAGTATGTGGCGGTTGTTGATTCTGGTGGACATGATGGTGGTGGTGGGAGGTGGGGGGAGGGTGCGGGGGGGGGTTGTAGATACAAAACAAAGAAATAAATTAAAAGGAAAGCCAAAGCTGGATGATGGATGGAGCGAAGAGGAGCGAGTGGAAAACGGGCAGCGGGGAGGGAAGGAAGACGGAGGGTTAAGTGAGGATGCCGAGCGACACGAGAAGGGAAACAGAGGGAAGGAAAAATCTCATCTGGTGCTGAAATAATCGCTCATTCATCACACTGATGGAAAAACAAGGACAGAGGGAGAGAACGGAGCTGGATGAGGCTCAGAAAATACGGACTTCCAAAGCCTGGGTGATAAGTTTCAGCTCGCACACGCAGCCGGCGTGTTCATTCTATAGCGTCTAGACCGCCTCTTTCCAGCCGGCATAAATTATGCATGTAGAGTTGTCCTCATTCCGGGGAGCCGTGTTAATATTATTACATATGTGGCAAACATACCGGAGAGCGCAGGGTGGTGGAGTCTCCTCCATGACACTCAGCAAATTGGGGGAAAGCTGTAATTGTGTGCGCACGCCACACACACACACACACACACACACACACACACACACACACAAACACAAACACACACACACACACGTTTGATTCATGCGCACTCACACGTACCTACACGCTCCCAGGACCTTTGCAAATGCATGTGCTGCGACGCATGTGGACACACAAATACGCACACGCATACACACACACATACACACCAAGCCAAAAGGCTAAGCTTCCTTTTTCATTTCAGCGGAGAAGATTGCATTTTCTGAGGCTGTGTGTGTGTCTGTGTGCATGTGTGTGTCTGTGTGCGTGTGTGTGTGTGTGTGTGTGTGTGTGTGTGTGTGTGTGTGTGTGTGATTACTGACTGTTTGGGAGGGAGTGATGGGGGATATTAAACGATTCAAATGCTGTCTCTCTGCTCTCCTCCACTGAAGAGACCTAAGAGTGCAGCATGGCCACACGCACACACACACACACACAGACACACACACACACATACTGGGCCGGTCTTATCATCAGACAGGCCAATTTAAAAACCCACACACTGCCAATTAACTGAGGAGCCGCATAGTTTCCGTGCGGACATTGTTGCAGGGCAGCCTGCACAGATCAGTTGTGTGTGTACATGTTTTTGTGGGTTTTTCTGGGGTTTCATTGTTTAGCAAATTGCTTGTTTAAAAAAATCGGAGGAACAAAGAAAGCGGATGAATCGTCTGCGTCTCCTTTTCAAATGTCCACAGCTATCGCCATCGGGTTTTTACTGTGAACGATTACAGAGCAAAACTCCCATCTCCCGCGGGATAAATTCCTCCTATTGTCCTTTAAATAAGTTACTGGAAAAAAAACAACAAAATCACGCAGACAGAAGACAAAAAAACGCACACCGAAGGAAAGGCCCCCGGGGGGGCGCGTGAATAAAGAGCCACAAGAAACAAGATGCTGCGAGCTGACGGGAGAATTGAGGTCTGATTCATAACCTGTTTGCAGAAACCTAAATATTGTTTTTACCTGTTGTTCACTGGCATTTATTGCTTCCTTATGGCGCCCCTGATACGCTTAGCAGAACCTTTGTAGCTCTGCGCTAAGTGCAATCTAGGGACGCCTGCCTTTACGTACACCGTGCGCTACCAGTCAGTGCGTTTTACTGCCAAGTGATTCTGGACAATCGCGCTGTGCAATTTAAATGCACAAACCCGGATGCCTCCAGATTTTGCACGCGGCCCTCTGAACGGCGCCAGGGAGTCTGCCAAGGCGCAATAACTCTTTCTCCTTCCAGTTCATCCCATTAAACGTGAGACAAAAGTCTCACGGGGGAAAGAGGAGTAAACGTCCCACAGGCAGATGATCATCGGGCATTTTTCATGATGGGCATTAAAAAAAAAACGCAGGTGGTAAGTGATGACATTTTTAGTGGCCACATTCCATTAAATTGTTCCAGGTACGGTGCCAAGACATGGTTGATATATGCAGGCTTATTGGAACACATACATGGAATGAAGCCACCGTCACTGGCGGACAGAAAACTTGTACTTGTACGAAATGTTTAACGATAAGGCGATGGCATTCAAAGCCCGTTACCAGATAATGCTGCTAGTGGATGATTCCGCAAGATTCAAAATTAAGTTCAATCTCAGAAGAATGGTTGTGCATCTATTTGCGTCACACCACAAGACTTCAGCGCTGGGCTGCAGCAGCGCCGACAAGCTCAGGTTAAATACCACTCTCTTTAAAAAAGAAAGGTAAATTACCCTCGGGCTGAGTTAACTTTAAGGAGTCACGTGCAACCGCCAATAGCTGTGATGTCACGTCCCCGGTGAAACAACAAGCAGGAAAGTGATGATCAGGGTCCAACGGAGGACAGACTCTTCTGACGCAGGAGGTCACGCCACGCACGTGTAAATAAGACGCCAAACCACGTGGTTGTGAGTGTTTAGGATTGTTCGAAATCATCCGGTCGAGCTGCAAGTAACGGACGCCGATTGGTCAACTTGAGGCGACTTTAATATTCAGCACACTCACGCTTGTGGTTGTTCTTGCGCTGGAAGGGTAGCGTGTGTCGCTCCGAGTCCTCTTCCCCCTCCTCGTCTGCCAGGTGTGTGTGAGTGTAATGGTAACTCAGCCCCGGGCGGTTCTTGTAGCGCTTTCCACAGACTGCAACACACACGTTAAAATTACCCTTTTCTGCAAAATAATGAGGAGAAACGGGAGTAAGGAAATGAAGTTGCAACGCTCACTGTCGCAGACGTAAGGCTTGTCTCTGTCTTCAATCGCAGCCGGCTCTTGTCTCTTCCTCATGCCGCCGACGCCGTAGGCCTGCACACACACACACACACACACACACACAGTGGTGAGAACAGCCACATGCAAAATCACGCGTGTGCTCGAGATACAAACAAAAAGTTTGAACGTCCACACGTACACACACACACACGTGGTAAAAAGGTTGTGACAGCACAAGTGTCTACACACACACACACACACACACACACACACGTTTGCATTCCACTGTAATCATCTGCTCCCAGTGTAAAGCTCCCCTTCCAGCAGGAGGGGGCTGATGACACCTAGCAGGGGAGCAACAGCTCCAATTAGCAGCCCTGGTGTCTGTGTGTGAGCACGGGGTACGTGTGTGATGATTTTCAGAATACATTGTTAACACTTGATTTTCTTCCCATAAGGAGCCCCCAAAAGAGTGTGTGTGTGTGTGTGTGTGTGTGTGTTTGATCCAATCAATGCTGTAAAAAAGAAAAAAAGGTTGTCTCAGCATGATTTGTGTCTCTGGATTCATTTGCATTTGTTTGCTGTAATAACTGTTGCAGACTCGGGAATACAGCGGAGTCAAAGTCACAATAAAACCATCGTGTATTACATATTATTAAATACATCATAACTTCACACCAGTGATTGGTGAAGGGCGCCATTTGTGTACATGCAATTAGGACACCCTTTAAAGGTATATGCGTGGGAACAGGAGCTTTTATTTAATACTTGAGCCATGCAAATGTAGCGGATTCTAATTAAATCACAATAAGCAAAGGGCTGTTACTTTAAAGTGAAATCTAACTCAGCGCTCCACGTGCTAACGACTCTGAGCTCCATCTTCGGCACTGAGAGCCGAGCGGCTTCTGTCGTGACTCGGTAGTTTGGGGGGAAAAAAACGACCCGGGGGGGGGGGTCATTCGTGTTTTACCCGTGCTTTGGTACGGTTCTTGCGTTTCGGGACGTCTTCCTCTATCTCGTCCACCTCCAGCTCGTGAGGGAAATCCCCGACCAGCAGCTTCTACAGACGAGAGACAGACAGACGGACGGAGGGAGAGAGGCGGACTGTCAGACGGAGAAGTTAGTTTTCTTCTCTTTCCTTTGCTTTTCCCCTCAGCCATCTCGGCCTCTACTTGCTTTTGTGTTGCTCCCCGTGAACTCGCACGTCTTCCCGTTGAGTATTTGCATAATCCCACTGCAGGAAAATGTGTTACCATTTAATTGCAGTTACAGACTCAACTAAATGGGTGCAGCAAAGGATTCAGGATTTTACTGTCTATGTGTCTATAAGAAAGAGGTAATCAAGCAGCAGTGGCAGAGATTTCCCGATTTCTCGTCTTTAATATGAGTCAAGCTCCAAAAAAAACAAACACCGGATCCCACATTTCCCATCATGCAAAGCCGCCTGCAACGCTTTCTGATCCTCAGTGAAGGAAAACACCCGGTTTGCTTTTTAAAGAGACTTCAGAAGTAGTCAAACAGCGAGAGAAGGGCTGATGAACTTGAAGTCCTGAAGTGATTCCCGGCTTAGAGGCCCCAACCCTTTCTCCGTCTGCACGAGGGCCCCTGTGAGGACCATTTCACTCAAGAGCCGATTGATTAGCCGTCCCTCTGAACGGCGGAGCGACGGCCTCGAGCCGGCCGAGTGCTCCAGAACCAACGAGGAGGTGTTTTCGTTCAGGAGGCGGCGAGCGCGTCGGGCCCGCGGAGAGAGGCGGACGGACCTCCCTCGGAACGTCCCTCAGCTAATAGCCCGCAGGACCGGGCCCTCCGAGAACCCTGAGCGGACTCGCCGTAAAACAGCAAGAACGTACAGACGCCCGCTCGGCGAGACACCGACAGCCTGAGGCACAAACAGGACACGGGGAACTACAGAGCGCAGAAGAGAGAGAAACGAGAGTCTCACCTGACACTCGCTCATCGGCTCTTCTTCCTTGGTTTCTACCTTCTTGTCCAGGGTTTCCCCGGCGAGCAGCGACTCCAGCACGGGGCCGTCCGGGATGCCGCCCTCCTTCTTCAGAGAAGCCTCGTAGTCTGCAGGAGGAGACCACCGCCGGCGTCAGCAGAGTAAAAACAAGAGCGCGGCTGCTTGGTGAAGAGTCCAGTCAGTGAACAGGCATTTTACTCGCCGTGAATATGAAGTTCTCTCAGTTGTGAGACATTATTTCAAAGCGTTTGGTGGCGTTCTCTGACCTTTTGAATTCATAGAAGCGCGAGGACGCCGTGACGTGCAGCCAGACATTGGTCAAAGCCACTGAACTTTAGTTGAATACTCAATTTCACATTTCAAAAGATGAACTTTTCGGGAATGTTTGTAAGATAAAATATGACGACTCTGCACGCTGACACAAAATAAACAGAATGTGCGAATCTTCAAACCAGCATCAATCGCACCACTATATCAGCGGTGAAAGTTATTAAAAAATGTCATTAATTACCGATCTTGAACTCGATGGGTACGAGCCGCGGATCCTCCAGGATGTTTAGCCGTCTCTTCTTGCGCCAGCAGCGGGCGGGATATGTGTACAGCTGACCCGGAGCGTGACCTGAGACGCAGAGCACCACAAACACACCAGCCGCACAATGAATGGGAGTTGAGCTCAACGCTAACACATCTGTATTGTAGCGCAGCGAAGCATGATGGGAAGGACGGTGAAGGTTGACCTCAGAGGGACGTAAACCGCAGAACGGAAAAGTCACAATTCTTTTGTTATCTGAAAACCTTGAATTTGTATATAATATGACGTGTTTATGATGTAATCTGTCTGTTATGGTCCTGTGCATCGTTTCCAAACCAAAGACTGTGAAAATAAAAATACAGTCTTTAAATATAAACTACTTATAGTTGGTTTTGGAAAATAATCAGCCTTTAAAAATAGTAACAAGAATCTGTTTGATTTTCATTTTGATTCAAAACTATTCTCTGCAAAAGATGTCGTAACTAAAAACCATAGTAAATACTATACTAAAATATACTATAATATATATATATACTATATTATACAAAAAACTATACTAAATACTATACTAAAATATACTATAATATATATATATTCTATAATATACTAAAAACTATACTAAATACTATACTAAAATATACTATAATATATATATGTACTATAATATACTAAAAACTATACTAAATACTATACTAAAATATACTATAATATACTAAAAACTAACAAATACAAGACGTCGACTGGCAGACAACAAGGCGAAGCCTACAGACTCAAATGGGTAAATCACTCCTACACACGTGTACACACACGCACACACACACGCACACACACACGCACACACACACGCACACACACACGCACACACACACGCACACGCGCACACACGCACACAGGGTTTCTCTCTGGAATCGTCAGTGCCAGCGGCGCATCTTTGCCTACGGGGGTCGTCTGATTCGCTGCCAAAATACACCGACGTTACAGAAAGAGAGAGCGCCGAGGAAACAACCGCTGGGGAAAGTTGCATCAAAAAATAAAAAGTTGAGCCTGTGGAAGGTGGGAGGCCTAAAAGGAGGGGGAGGAAACGAGGGAGCGTCGAGAGGAAAAGGGGGGCGAGACAAGCGGAGGAAGGAGGAGGAAAATAATGAATCTTCCTCAGCCAGCCTCTTCACCCTGACGAGGAATGAAACACATCACACACACACACACACACACACACACACACCCCCCGGTGAGAGAGACACACACACCTGGTCCGCGGTGGTTCTTCTCCATCCAGATGTAGCAGTTGCTCTGGGCCACGCCGGTCTGGGAGTCCAGGAAGGGGAGGCGCATGGAGCGCTCGGCGCACAGACGGGCATTGTAGCTGCGGCAGTGTTCGATGGCCTCCTTGTAGAACTCCTCACCAAGACTGAGAGGACGAACACAGGCGGGGGAGGAGGCGGAGGAGAAGAGGAGCGAGGGTGGGCGGGGAAGGGGAGAAGGTCAAAGGTGAAGGCCAGAGAATACAGTCCAACATGGGCAAGAGGGACGGGATGACAAAAGCACACTTGTGTGGGTTAAGGTGAGTCATAAAAGAGGGAGTTTCATGGACGTGTGTGTGTGTGTGTGTGTGTGTGTGTGTGTGTGTGTGCAAGCTTAAACACACTTCTACGGGTCGGTGCCTGTGTGTAAAGTCGAAAGGGGCATTGCCTGGTCAATCACGAGTGGTCTGCGTGTGCGCGTGCGGTCCTATTAACCCGGGTCACAGCAGACGATCAGGCAACTACACACTGTGAAAGCCACACACACACACACACTTTTCACCGTGAGGACAACGTGCACACTCGTGCGCACTGTGCTCTTCCCAACTGTACAAGTGTGAGTTTGATTAACATTCAGGGTAATATTCTTCTCTCTGCCTCCCCCATCGCCCCCCCCCCTTACCTGTTCTTGATGACTGCACCTCCAGATTGCCTGCAGGGAGAAGAAGAAGAAGAAGAAGAAAGATGATAGATGTGTGGTGAGTCACTCCTCTCTCAGGTCCTCTCCACGTCTCAGTCTCTAGTTTTTTGTTTCTGTATTTTTTCTTCAGATGTTTTGTTGTTGTTGCTTCTTCCTGCATGTTCCCTCCGCACTTCCCTTTGTCCGCCTCCTGTTAATCACTCCTCTCCGGTGTCTTCATGCCGAGTGCAGACATCAAGGTCACTGAACCGACGGCAGATACAGGACACCCTAAACTCCAGCTGCACACATACGCACAGCGACGCGGCAGTCGATTTACAACATTGTCGGCCCAGAGATTTTGTCCATTTTAATTGATGCATTTACCGTCGCCTACATTACCCACGATGCAACTTGACGGTCAGTTCAATGGGAGATTCGGGGGCGTAAAGCCAGAAAGAGGTCCGGCCGTTTTCATCAAGCTGGTGTGATTGTTTGTCTGACTTTAAATTTGTGTTTTGTCCCGCTGGAGCCACAAAGGATTTCATCCAATCCCTAACACCTGAACATAACAGCCAATGATGTCAGAAAAGAAATTTAAAAAACATCACATGGATCAAATTAGTTGATGTTAAAAACAGTTTTGCAGTAATTACAAATTACGAATTGATCCTGGTGGATTCATTATGAGCCAATAAAATCCAGTGGAAAAGTGATGTGGATTTTAAAGCCACAGAATTCCCCCAAAACGCACACGTTGAAATTCAATATCTATCTGCACCAAATCTAACCCTCCTGGCTGAAGCATGACCTTTTTATTGAAATCTGTGCATTTTTAATCATTGCTTATTAACATCGACAAAGTCCACAAACTGGACTAAATGCCTCCTTGGTTGAAGAACATATTGAAATGTGCCACAACACACAGACGGAGCAGATAATGATCTCTGAGCAGCTTAAAAGCAAAATTAGGTTTGAAAAAGATGTGACTATTCGACAAGACGCTCAAACGGAAAGAGGATTATTTACACTTTAATATCCTCCAACTGGATTAAAGCTTGTGAAAATGTCAACAACAATCAACTGCCCCAGTGGGACATGAGGACAAATTGAACTCCGTCGGACCCAGTCGACGCTTGGGGAGGACTGACAGCTTGTGTGTTGGCATCTCCCAAAAAAACCCTGAACCGGTTGTGCGACACCCGCCGGACGTGTGACATTTAAAGGATGCGATCCGCTCGATCTGCTCGACGTCGTCTTTGTCTGTTGGGCTGTTTTTTAATGGCGGCGTTGGAGGTGCGCCGCCTTTCCTCACCTGCTTTCACTTTGCCGTATAGTGCTTTGCCGGCGACCCCTGCTTAAAGTTTACAACAACCTGATGACCTAACCGAGCAGCAGAGGCCCCCTTGTGAGCAGCCACTGTGGATTAAAAGCCACTTCGTACCTGCAGAAGCTCAGGCCAAAAAAAAGAGGCAGCCATTCCCCTCAGACACAATTACACCTACTCTTTGCGTATGAATGACCGAACTAAAATGCCAGCTCTCCTCCATCACCTTCATCTCTCTCTCCTCCGCTGACGGAGGAGGAGAAGGAGCCGGTCCCCTCTTGATAAGAAGTTGACAGCTGTAGGAAAATGGCTTCTTTCAGTTTTTTGGGCGCTCCCAATCTCATTATATTGTGATAGGCGAGCTGCGTGACTGTTTGCCCGTTACAAGGCTCGCGCGGGGGGGGGAAGAGATGAGGCTCTCCGAGCGGCGGCGGAGAGGGAGACACGCGGGGAGAAAGTTGGGAGAAGATGTGTGAAGAAAGACGAAGGGGGGGGGGGGGGGGGGGGGGTGAGACGAGAAGAGGAGAGAAGAGGGGGAAAAGAGGAAAGCGAGCGGCCAATACGTGAGGAGAGGGAGGCACACGAAATGTGAGGGATGGAGGACCGAGAGGGAGAAAACTCTGCAGCAGGAGAGCAGGGCGACCTGTGAAAAGACGTGATAACACTTCATTTTAGCTCTCTGTCCATTTAAAGGGGGGGGGGGCTGACGGCCCGTTTTTCTGGAGCGTGAAACCCTTTAATTAGGTGCAAATGGCCACCGGAGAAAACCTGACTCCCAACATCAATTTGTAAAATAATAACGTCCGGCTCTTGGAGTTGATTGAGGATTCACAGTGAAGGTGTGGCACCTCTCATCGCATGAGCCTAAGAGCTGCACAGCAACGAAACGTCCTCCAGTTTCTCTCGCCTCGTTGCGGACAGTGATCGTGAGTTACCATGTCAATTTACTAAATGAACATTGAACACTTGTGACGTAAACTCACGTTCACGATGTTTGCTGAGGTAATACGTCTATCTAGGAGCAGGGTCATTTTCTCGTAGACTTCCACACAATCAGACTTCTACTACCGGTTGTTGTTGCGTCCTGGTTGGCGCTAAGCCTCTGCAGCAATGTCGCTTGGATTGAATTGTACATGTTTACTTAATAATTCGGCGTGATGAGCAATGCACACACAAGTGTTTGTTTGTTGTTGTCCAAAAGGGTAGAAAGATAATCAGCTCAGCACCTCTGGCTGTCGTATCAACATACCGCTATGAAGTGAAAATGCATTTTTCCCACAGAGTGGAACTATTTATTTAATGAAATTCTTGGATATTGTTGACATGCTAACAAAGCAGATGTGCAGGGAAAGGCCCGCGGTCCACCAACCAAGCAGCTAAAGACCACCGGAGGCGTTGACTGACCAACGTGTCCATCATCAAACCACACAGCCAATGAAGGAAAGCCCAAACTGGATTATACACACAAACACACACACACACACACACTGTGGGCCTCATTGTGCATGAAAACTCATTTCATGAATTTCCATTATCCTCAACATATCTTTAAATGGCATGTTTGTTCCAGCTATATTTCACACTAATGAACGCACACAGACTCGCGAGCGCACACACACACACACACAGAAAAGCCAGCAGCTTTGGGAAATAACTGGCAGAGCGCCAACCCTCCAACTGGAGCTGACTACCAAAAGCGTCCAGGCAGACATGACAGAAATGACAATCACACACAGGCCTGTGCTGCGCAAGGGCACACGGGGCATCACAAAGGACACCTGTGCACATGCATGTGCGTGCACGCACACCCACGGCAATGCAACAAACAAAGCAGAAGTACATGCGCTTGCATATACGTTCTAAGAAGGGATATTATTATGCATGAATGCACAGGCAATATACAATATCATGACGCTCCAAGCACACACACAGACACACACACACACACACACACAAACCAAATGAAGATTACATGAAGAAAGGGAATGAGAGCGCCTGGAGCATGTGGTCTATACGCGAGTGTGGATCCTTAGCCCACATTGAGCTGTCTGCCTCAGCCTGCACTATGCAAACAGCCGGGAGGGAGAGGCCTTCATGGGCTGAGGAAACTGGGAACAGTGGGATTACACACACACACACACACACATACACACACGTTTGTGTCTCTGACCGGCGGCAGACATGCAGCATTCCTAAAAAGCGAAGCCAGCCCATGGTGGGGACGCTATTGTCTGAATCTCTGGGTGAACCCCCCCCTCCAGTCCCACCCAGCAAAGGCCATCCGCTTCAGCACATACAGATTCTCCGTCCAGTATTGCTTCTACATACTGCTAAAACACACACACACACACACACACACACACACACACACTGCCGGTTGCGTTCTTGTGCAATTAACCAAACCAATTAGCTGGTTCCTTGACCAATAGAGAATACAGAGGGCTCCCCCTAGAGGTGTAAATGCACCATTGGAGACACTGATGAGAAATATAAGGAAATCATTGAAATGACTCCAGAATTACCACCAAAAAAACCCCGTGAACATCAACAAAGGATTTCATCTCAACGGTGGATTCCAACCATGTGACCAATGAGGTCATCAAAGTAGTCCGATGTAAAAGGCTCTGCATGGGGTTGTACGGGAGGGATCTACATGTAGATTTGTTATGCCTGTGTATGTTTGGGTGTGTGTGCACACATGTGTGTGTGTGTGTGTGTGTGTGTGCATGGTGTTAGCTTTAAGCCTGTGAAAACACTCGCCCCTATCCAACCCAAGTCCGTACACCTGGCCGACGCACCTGTCTCATCCTCCATTGTCCATCTGTGCAGTTACAGTCACACACACACCACATTGGCGTTGTCTGGCCTACGGAGCTTTGTGTGTATGTATGTGTGTGTGTGTGTGTGTAAGTGTGCGCGCAGTGGAGAACGGCCAGGATGCCTACTACTGTACTGTTCCTCCCCTCCCCCCAAACACAGCCTCCGTGGCTGAACTCAACAGATTAAACTATGCAATATAACCCTTACCAATCCACCCCTCCTCCCTCTCCCTACCCCCCCCCCCCCTCCCCCCTCCACCCTCACCACCCTCAATTCAATTTCTTCTCATCCTCCCTCTCCCTCTCTCTCACACAGTAATGATTTGGCTTTTTTTTTTCCCCTCTTCTCCCATTCTCTGTGCATGTGCCCATGATCACATTTTCCTGTTCTTCTGAAGATTGCTCGGCTGCAGTATATATATATATATATATATATATATATATATATATATATATGTGTGTGTGTGAGTACTACAATGCTTTGAGGAAGGCTGCAATTCTACAATTTAAGGGGAGAAACTTCACACATTGGAGTACACACACACGCACACACACACACACACACACACACACCAATGATGTACCGTTATAAATGAAGAAAAACAGGTAAAGAAACACATTGTTGCTTTTGTGTGTCTGTATGTGTGTGCGTGTAGTGAGAGAGTGCATGTCAGTCTCAAGACAAAGAGGCCACAGACTCGGTTCCGCAGTGACAGACAGAGAAATGGACAGACAGCAGTGTGTGTGAACGCATGTGTGTGTGTCTGTGTGCATGTGTGCATGTGACAGGGTGCTCGCAGAAGCAGACGTCTGCCACACAACCAGCTGGAAAACGTCAGTTTGCTGGATTTGCTGTCACAGCACTGCATCTGTGCGCTTGTGTGGTGTGTTTGTATGTTTGTGCGTGTGTGTGTCTACCATTGCCTGTTTGCATATTTGAACAGGACGTGAGGTTTGACACACACACACACAGACACACACACAGTGCGGAGGGCAGACAGCGGCATGTCAGAGGTTTGCGTTACCTGCTCTGTGGGATTTTAATGAAGAGTTGCGTTTCATTTCCTGTGTGTGCGCGCGTGTGTGTGTGTGTCTCCCCGGTTGTCCGCTGGGTGTGGTTATCTCAGCGTCACGATAAAACTGTGAATCATGGCCCTCTGTGTGTTCGTACGAATGCAAGTGTGTGTGTGCACGTTTTTTTTTTTTGGGTGGGTGTGCACATATCCGTCTACAAAACATACGCCTGCACCTTCTCATCGGTGCTTTTAAGCATGCTGAGTCTGTGTGTGTGTGTGTGTGTGCATGCATTCCTGGTATGTTGGTGTGCGTAGCTCGTAGCTAGCTGCAGTGTGTATTGAGGGCAGTACATCAGGGTAAGGCAATCTGCCTCCAAACAGCTCCTTCAGGTGAGATTTATCACCACTGCACTTGGCCTCTTATTATGGCGATGGATTCCCTACCTCTGTATCTGGATGCACGTGTGAGTGCATGTGTGTGTGTGTGTGTGTGTGTGTTTTCTTAGACCCCTGAGTCTGTATCCTTATTAAAGTGCTGCAGAGGGAAGCAGCCATTGGTTTGTGTTGACTCCACCCTCCACAACCCCTGATAGAGATCCACTGGACACGCACACTGGGAAACATATAATGAGGGATGACAACAGAGAGGAAATAACGCTGAGGAGAGGAGTGAGATTCGGGTTGATTAATTCTCGCTCCACACCTTTTTTCATTTGGACTACAGGTTTGCGCCCCAAACGAAACTACAAATTCCAATTTTCCTTGGTGGAAAACACGCAAAGGTCCCCAAAGCAGTGAGCTGACTGACAGTCAATTCGCACTGGAGAAATAGGTCATACATCTAAAAATACTGATCTATGTCTCTCTCTGTCTCTCTCTCCCTCTCTCTCTCCTTCTTAAAACACACACAAAGTAAAACAGATAGAAAGTCTAAATAAGGGGATGATGAGAGGAAAGAAAGAAACACCCTTAAAACCATCAGACCTCCGGGCTCCGCCGATCTCATTCGAATGAAGAAAACCACTGAGAGCGAGAAATGGAACGAGAGAGAGTGCAACTGTGTGCGCTTCCCGTTGTGCGTTGTGCGTGTCTTGTGCGTGTCTCCGTACGCGCACGGGCGATGCCGCCCAAATGAGCCAGCGAGGGAATGAAAGGGAGAGATTGAAAGAGAAAGAAAGACGTGGAAGAGGATGCTCGGGCTGTTTGCACACACGGCCGCTTGTTACGCGGAACTCGTTTAGCTCGGCTCACTCAGGCAGGGGCAGGAATAATGTCACACCGCCCCCCCCCCACCCCCCCACCCCACCGCCACAACGCCACGGCACGCCATTATCTACATCGGCCCCTTCCAACCAGCACAAAAGAAGTCGAATTGCCGAAGCAAGCATCACGTCAACCGCCATTTTTACCATTTCTGACACCTGTGCCTTCGCAGGGATTGTCGTGGGGCAAATACCCTCCGCTGGTTTGATTTAATTGAATTTAATAAGATGCATGGAAAGGTGGGATTTGGTCTGAATGGTGCACTGCAAACACTCTACTGACAGTAGATGGTCGAAATCCACAGTAAATCTTTGCAAAGGAACTTTCATGAGTGACGTACAGGAAGATTTAAAGGGATCTGACTAAAAGCAGAAAGAATTTTCCCCCCAGTACGTTTTGCTGAATACCAAATAACTGACATGCTTTGATTCACAATGTAAAGGGCCATGGTGGAGGGTGTGGGGGGGTGGGGGGTGGGGGGGGGGGAGTTGGGGGTTGAGGGTAAGCGACTTGGAGGGCTCAGATGGTTTGAGGCCGAAACAGCAGGAAAATGGAAAAGAGAGAGCGAGCGAGACAGAGAAGGAAATGGCTGAACAAAAGGGAGATGGCGAACAAAAAGTGATGGATGGAGAAAGTGATGAAGAAGGAGGGAGGGGAGGGGGGGGGGGGGGGGACGAGAGGAAGAGGGGGCAGCAGGGGTGATGGGAGGACAGGGAGGAAATAAACTGGGGGGGTTGGAGGAGGGAGAAGGAGAGATTAAACGAGTCTCTAATCCAGCAGAGAGGGAGAGGGGCAGGGGGGGGGGGGGGGGGAGAGGGGGAGACCTGGTGGGGAAACGCACAGTAGATTGGAGCCGCTCTCCTCCACTGATTTGCTTCTGCACACAAATGAACCCCCCCCCCCACACCCACACCCACCACCACGGCACTTCCACGCACGCCACTGCAGGCTCACTCCACTCGCTGAAATTGACATCCACTGAATCGATTCAAATTAATTGCAGAGATTCACCGAATTTCGGGGCGTGCATCGTGTCCTCGGCCGCTCTGCACGACGTGGAGACCACCTTATTCCTGTTGGTGCTGAACGGGCCTTTTAATTTGCAATCCTTCTAATGGCAAGTTTGTTTGCAGACATGTTAATTACCGGGCCTCGTCTCGGTGTGTGGTAACTGGAACGCAGTTGAACTCACACTGCGCGGCGAAGGCTTCTGTACAGTTGGCGAGGTGCTAAAGGCAGCGTTGATTGACGCGGCCTTGTGTAATAAACACATTCGGCTTTATTGTTGCGCGTAGAGTCGGATGCTGAAGTGACTCCGTGTGCCAGCATCCCTGCAGACGTGCATCTGGCTCACAACGTGGCTTCTTTGTGCCAGGTTTTCTTTTTTTTTTGTTAACTTCAAATCAATGCTAGACCACCACTTGTGTTTTTAAATGATTTACCCAATACTACTTTCATTCTTATCATATTGTCTTTTCCACCACAACCTCCCTCCCCTATCTGCCCTGGTACATACATATGCATATATATATATATACATATATATATAGTCCATGTAAATCAGTCAGTTTAATCCCCTTGACATGGTGTCAGAGGGGGCCTCCTGTGGGACTAATCCGGCCTCTGCTCGGATGAGCTTCCCTGAGAGCAGAAGAAGCTCTGAGCTAAAAAGGTCCCACGCGACGGCCTTCACGCGCTCCACCTGTCCACTCCCGTCCCATCATCACGCCACGTCACCGGATACCAGTTTATTAGAGCGTTGTTAAACCTCCAAATTATTCATCTCAAATCTTTCTCCCGCCATCGTCGAGATACGTGCGAAGAAGTGAAATGCATTTGGGCAAAAGAAGAAGAAGAAGAAAAAAAATGCCACTGAAATGCCATCACTGCACAATCACGGCAGCACACAGTTGTCCAATCAGTTGGATTCCGGTTCCCTCTCTGCTGTGAAGTGCTCTCCGATGCACGCGCGTACAGGCCAGCCGAAATGTCGCCTGTGTCTGCATCTCAGGCAAGCAGACAGACAGACAGACAGACAGACAGGTCTGTATATCACTGCTCACGTGAAACCTGTGCACCATCCGGCGTGCATGCGCACCTGCACACTTTTCTTTGTTTCAAACTGCCTCAGCTGGATGTGTTGCGTGGTCAGTCCTCGGCTGTATGTGTGTATTAAAGCTATTGTGGTGCCTCTGTGTGTGTGTGTGTGTGTGTGTGTGTGTGTGTGTGTGTGTGTGTGTGTGTGTGTGTGTGTGTGTGTGTGTGTGTGTGTGTGTGTGTGTGTGTTTCGGCTCGATCCCTGGAAGTAGCCGCACATCGGCCACCTTTTTGGCCGGGAGCCCACGCGGGCAGGAGGCGTCTGCATTCCGCTGAAACCAGCCTCAGAAAAACACACACACACACACACACAAGACTCCCCCACCAAAAAATCCTGCACAAAGGGGATTATTACGGGAGAAACTTAACGAGAAATCCACCCGTTTACAGAGCCAGTAGTTGAATGAAATGCCCGTTGAGTGAAAACCATCGTTTTATTATGGGCTTTATTATAGGCGCTGGAGATGGAAGCAGGTCCCGGAGTCCCAGCCGAATTTACCTCGGGTTAAATATTTCCGAGGGGTCCGGCGGCGAAGGGTAACCCGGCTGTCACAGACCGGCACAGTGAGCCCGGTCCCGCCTACCTGTTTACCCCCTGTGCGTCCCCAAAATGCGCTCACGGGTACGCTGAAGCCCCCCACCCACCACCCCACATCGGCTCCCCCCGCCACTCTTTAACCGCGAGCTTGGCCGGCCGCGGCGGCAAGGGACACGCCGGGTCACCCGGATCTACCTCCAGCATTCCTCCATATCGCCGCGCACACGCTGCCGTTGGCCCCTGTGATAATACGAGCTGCATCGGCGCGCACAATGATCCCCTCGTGCCAAAAAACGAGACCCCCCCCCCCCCCCCCCCCCCCCCCCTCTCTCTCCCTCCTTCGCCAGCTACAAATCTAACTTTTCTTTCAGGCGGTTTCGCGTTGGCTGACACGATCTCTTCCCCCCCGCAGCGTGCATTGCATGTGCAGATGTGTTGGTAATCGTGCCGAGGAAATATCTGTGGATGCGCGGCTGTTGAAAAAGCACGCACAGACAGCATGCACAAACACAAGAGAGCGCAAACGCTCAGGAAACGTGTTGTACTCACGATTTGAGGGGGTTCTGCACCGCTGTGGCCATTTTGATGTAGTATGATAGAATGCAACACCGCAGAGCTCGGTATTGTACATGTAATGTAGCTGCTATTCCAATTTCATTCATTCTCTGGGGCTGCGGCTGCAGCGAGCAGCCAATGGGAGGCGCGAGCGCCCCGTGACAGCTTTGGGGAAGTGTAGTTTTTTACGCATGTCAACACGGAACACGCTGCAGGGAGGCGCACTACAAGTACCAGCGGGGATGGCGGTTTAAGTGGACCCCCGGTCCCGCCTCGGACTTGTGAGAGCGAAGCCATCCTCCGGGTCTGAATTCATTTAAATGTGTATGTATTTAATGCCCGTCTGAGGAAGGCAGCCCCTCTCATGCATTGTGTCCCAGTCTGGATGAGGATGATGATGGTGAGATGATGATGATGAGGATGATGGGCGAGGTTGAGTCTGCACTGGTCAGTCCCTAAATTGCACCACATCAAATGGCAACTTGTTAAGAAGCCTCATTTGAGACCGAATGAGGAGAAAAACACAGTTAAGAAATTATTTAGTTATTGTGAGGTGTTGAACAAGTATTCGCTTACCTATTATAGAACAATATAGATCATATAGAGGTGGTCAAGTCAATTACACTGAGAAAAACATATACGTATTATGTAAATTATAGGCTATTACCCTTTGATTGCAAGTTTATACTCACTGTTTTAGGGCATATAGATGCTGTGTCTGCATAACCTTACAGTGGTGGCATGTTGATAGAGCCATGGTTAATCTTATGTTATCTGTGGTAGCCCTGAGTAGCTTTAATTATTCATTAATCAGGGGCGATGGGTTTAGAGTAGGCCTATAATTGATTGCTTCAGACATTTGTCTCTCGTGGATGAGCCCGCAGAAAGGCTGGGACCCTCTGTCCTCGCCTCTTCATCGTTGTATTCTTCCTTCTTTAACCCCCCCCCCACTGCTAGGAAGTAAGGAAGGAAAGAAGGAAGGAGGGAAGTTGGGAAGCAAGAAAAGAAGGATGGATGGAGCTCACCCACAACAGTTTGAGCAGTAATGCTGGAATTTCGTCCTCCATGTCCTGTTTGAAGCGGTGGCGCCGCTATAAAGCCATTCAGTGACATGTGATATTTATAGATCTGTGCTAACAAATATTTAATGAACATTAGCAAGCAGCTCTAACATAGCACCATGGTTAAAAAAATACTCTCTGCCGGTTAAATACACACTTTGATTCACTGTTGCTGTAATTATGAGTCAATTTAAATAACATGTGGGATAAAAGATTTTCTGCCTCATATAGCCTTGTGAAACAAAAATATTGACTATAATTGTATGTACTTCTCATAAATGCTTGGAAATTAAAAATACATCTAAATAATACCGACAGAATCTCTGGATCAGTTAAGTAATCATTTCATTTAATGTGCTATTTTTATCCTCTGAAAACTGAAGTTTGTTGACCCCCGTGTGCTTTGTCATTGCACCATTTGTCCACAGGGTGGCGCCGTCCTACCAGACAAGCCGCTGACTCAACGCACGCACAGTGCGTCTGACGTCACTTCCTTCCCGCCACTCTCCTCCCGCTGCGTAGGCTGGCATCACACGCGCTGTTGTTGTGATTGGGGAGACGGAGTCATGTTGAACTTTCGTTTTGTTGTCTTCTCGCCGTCGCAAAACTATGTTTTGAGTGACTAAACAGCGATGTCCGAAATGCTGATGAAAGAAATGGACAGTATCTCGATGAGGGCGGAGGAGGGTGGAGACGGTGGACGGAGCTTCCTGCTGGTGGACGAAGAAGAAAACCTCCAGGTAAAGTTAGCTAACGTCTCCCGAGCTAGCTGATGCTAACGGTTAGCCACTGAGCTACGAAGAACGGGAACAACAAACAATCTGACGAATCTGGCGCGGATACGTTTGCGTCATTAAAGTAGAAAACACCGAGCTAAAGTCAAGCAGCGTGTGTTTTTGTTGTTGTTGTTTACTTAAACTGACAGATGACACAACAATAAATAGCCGTGTTTAGCACGCAGCCGTGTCGTGTCTTTGTTGACACGGTGCTCGCGATACCTCAGGAGAAAAAAAAAAGCCTTTACCGTAATAAAAGTTAAAGGCGCAACGTTTAGAACCCCCGGGAGGTGGAGCCGCGCACGGGTCCCTCTTTTGGGAGCTCCCGGGTGAGTCTCACTGGCCGTCGGAGCCGCAGGGAGGCACCTTCCCGTGCGTTGGTACAACAAAAGTACAAAGTGCAGGCGGCGATGTTGTGCTTTGTGTCCGTGCAGTCTGGGGAGTGTTGCACAACTGGTTTGGTCCTTTGTGTCAGAGAGCTGAAGGCCCAGCAGAGCTGTGTTCATGAATAAAGTCTTTATTTCAAAGCGTTCTCAATGTAGCTTGTATAAAGTTGTGTTTTCTTATGTATTGTGTGTTAGAGCTCCTTGTCACCCGAGACTCCTCAAATCAATCCGCTCTTCCTTTTGATTCAGTCAGGGGTGCCGGTTAACTAACGTCAATACACCTTCTGTCCAAACATGACGCTTCACCCCCCCCTCACCCAAGGTCCGCGATGAGTCCGAGTTTGTGGACCGACTGGGCTGCGGCGACGTGGCGGGGGTCAAGGTCATCTCCATCTTTGGCAACACCGGCGATGGCAAGTCCCACACGCTCAACCACATCCTGTTCGGCGGTGAGAGCGTGTTCTACACCTCCAAGTCCCCCAGCTCCTGTACGGTGGGGGTGTGGGCGGCGTATGACCCCACCCTGGGCCTGGTCTCCCTGGATACCGAGGGCCTGTTGGGGGCCGCGGCCAATCAGAACCAGAGAATGCGGCTGCTGCTAAAGGTAGTTTTACTGGTCAATGGTTGGTTTTGCTGAAAAAAATAACTGATCGCCGGGTCTATTTACGCTAATCAGTCAGTTCCTTGTAATAGTTTGCTATCACAACACTCAGTTTAGGGGTTATTTGCGAATGGGGCTTGTTTTTTGGGGGTCAGCTGGTTTCTAGAGAGGGAGACGCACATTAAGTGTATAACTCTGCAAATTCATCTGAATGGGAAAAGAATCAGAATTATTTTGGGTCTCACTGGGTTCTCTGCATTGAACTAATCTTTAATTATTTTCCTCACACAATTAACGTCCCATGCTGCAGTCTTTTAAGTTATTTCGGGTAGAAAGGACACGACATACCTTCATTGTCAAACTCTCCTTAACTTATCAGCGGAACCAACTACATTCCACTTCTCTGTGTGTCCAGTTCAATCAACACAGGTCAACTGAGCTCCATATGTATCTGCTGCCTTTTTTTTCCAGGTGTTGGCCGTGTCTGATATCGTGGTCTATCGTACGCGGGCCGAGCGCCTCCACAACGACATGTTCCAGTTCCTGAGCAACGCCTCGGGGGCCTACCTGAAGCACTTCACCCCGGAGCTGAGGGCCCTCTCCAGCCGCTGTGGGCTGGACGTGCCCCTCTCGTCTCTCGGGCCAGCTGTCATCGTCTTCCAGGAGACGACGCACACCCAGCTACTCGGCCATGGTGCGGCTGGGACCGATCAAGATTCTCCACCCCCTTTACGCCACGTTTATGTTCATGGGTTTTGATTCATTGTGTCCAAGGAGAAGGTCTTCACCTCTTCTTTCCCTTGTAGATTCCAAGGGAGCCGGTCATGCTGACACGCTGCTCCAGAAGCGCTTTCACGATCTGGGCTTGGGGACCGAGGCCTTCAGTTCGGTGCAGTACGTCGGCACCCAGACCATCACGCCTCCGACCGACTACAGCAGGCTGCTGGAGGCCGTCGGGCAGCAAGTGAAGAACACTCACACACGCTCCCCCCGCCAGCCCGGGATAGTGTTCCACGCACTGGATGTGAGTGGTGGAGCACAACTTTCTATGTTCGATCAAAAACAAGTCACATTTTAGAGGAATTTAACAGACGGTTTTGTCTTCTAGTCTTCTCTAATCTTGTTTAATGTCTCCCATCCTCCTCTGCTTTCCTCTCCCACGTCTTCAGGCCCTGAGCGAGCGTTTCTGTGGCGAGCTGTCGGACGATAAGATGACCCCGTACTCCTTCTTCCCAGACGAGTACTTCACCTGCTCGGCCGTCTGCCTCAGCTGCAAGTACGTCACTGAAATCATCTGTGAGCTGTTTCTTTCTTGTAGAGCTTGTGTGCTACAGGGGAGATTTCAGAAGCAGAAGCACCGATCAGAGAAGTTGATAAATCATCAGTTCATTCAGCCACTCTTTAGCAAAATCTCACTTCTCAGCGGTTACATTCTTCAGTGCTCACAAATGTGTTTTTTTTTAAATCGAATATTCTTTGGAATGGTTGAATGATAATATAGCAAATTGAAATACCCTGTCAACCCGTATTTTTGGTTTTATTGTGGCAGCTGGTAGACGAGGCTCCAACATGTTATTTCGACCAAAAGTCTGGGAAGATATTTTCAACTGGCCTGAAGTCAGTGGGAAGCATCCAAAATTGTTGTTATCCTGAGTATAGTGGTTAATTTTATAACTGATTTGGAAATAAAAAAATGTATTTGTGTTGATTAGAAGAAAAAAACGGAATGTTTTATACGGTTTTAATTCCCACCCTAATGTATATTTATATTGGTGTCCTTTCACAAAACTGCATTTGAATACATCATGTTGACATCTAGTGAATACATTTCACTCAGCACAGCATAATGTAATTCAATAGGACTTTTAATGTCAGCTCTTAGTTCTCCCAGTGAGATATTTAACCCACTGTTAAACTAATTAACTAATTAATCCGCCAACCTTGGGAGGTCTATCCGCACTGATCACGGACCAGCTGCGTACTGTCGCACCGTCTGCACATTGAGGCGGGTCAGACAGAAAGTATTTTCCACTCTTTCATCGTCTTTTATGGGTGAAAAGCTCCTGGCAGTCAGCCTGAGCAGGATCCCACATCTGTATTCTGGGCCTTTGCTTCCTCACAGCAGAAACAGTTTAACGGCGTTCATTCCGATTCTTAGAGTTCTGTTTTTTCCTAAACGTTTTTTCTGAACGTTGTCTTTTTACTTGGAACATTCCTCCTCTTCAACATTTTCCCACAGCAGGTAACGGCTTTTACGCACAAACAGAAGTCTGCCAGTTGCCTCTGGCTGAATAACAGATTAGGAATCTTATCCAGTTGTTGTTGTTCTAGATGTCTCCCCAGTGGATTACGTACAACATACAATGAAAGACAACTTATCTTTGTGCTTTTATGCAAAGCCAAAAGGGGAGAATTCAGAACCATAGTTGTGAGAAGATCAGGTCTGAAACGTTTGGCTTTCTGTCTCGTCTCCAGCGTCCGCTGTAAAAACGGAATGAATCATCTGAGAGACAGAGTCCCCCACATGGCGGACGGACTGTGCCAGTACGTACACCAGTTCAACAACAAGGTCCTTATCTGTAAGGTAAGACTGCTCGCGCTTCAGCTGCTTCACGGGGTTTCAGCCCTTCATCTCACCATATGGGTCACGCGTCTCGTGTCTCCAGAGGTGCTATGAGGGAGGCAGAGAGGTGATCGTCCTGCCCAAGACGTCGGCTTCCACCGACAACCCGTGGTTTGGACTGGCCAAGTACGCCTGGTCCGGGTACGTAGATAAACACACACACATAAACACCTTTTCAAGGCCTTTCATCCGCTCAGCATGCGCGTTGTCCCTCCCCCCTCTCAGCTATGTGCTGGAGTGCGCCAGCTGTGGCGTGATCTACCGCAGCAGACAGTACTGGGTGGGAAACCAGGACCCTGAGAGCGGCGTGGTGCGATCTGAGGTCAAGCACGTCTGGGAAGGGGTGAGTACTCCCGTCTTCTCTTCCTCCGGGGTTTTGGCTCCGACACAAAGCCACTGACTGCTGAGGTCCTTCCTGGTACCGGCGGGTGAGATTAAGAGTTACTGTGCATCCGTGCTCCTCCAGGCCCGACTGGATCATTCTGATAACAAAACCCAATTCATGTGCAATATTCATAACAGTTGACGTTAATGCGACATTAAAATAGCAGCACTTTGCATCAGCTTTTTAACCGTTTATCTCAGCGTCAGACGGGATCCATTGACTCCTTTTTCTCTCCTTACATTGTCCGCATTTCTGTCGTCCCTCTTCCAGTCGGACACCTTTCTGACCAACCACCAGAACGCTGCCCAGAGGGTCCTGGACGGGATGAACTGCGTCATCCAGTCCGTGTCCGAGTACAGCACCGGGCCCACCAAAGCCGTCGCTGCCTGGGTCACCGACCAGGTGGCGCCGCCGTACTGGCGACCCAACACCGAGATCACAGTGAGTACGAAGAGCCAAAGGGTCGAGACAAGCGACAGACGGCAAGGACTAATAATGCCTCGCCCCCCCCCCACCCGTTCACCTCAGGCTTGTCATGGCTGTCGGAAAGTGTTCGAGGAGGCGGAGAGGAAGCACCACTGCCGATCGTGCGGCGAGGGTTTCTGCCACCCCTGCTCCAGCCACAGGATGCCGGTGCCAGAGAGAGGCTGGGGCAGCGCCCCCGTCAGGGTGTGTAAGGCCTGCTACCAGCAGGGGGGGCCGGCGGACACCAACAGCCAGGGTAACGCAACTTCACCTAATGATGAAGCATTTCATCTGTAGTTTCAAAGCTTAACTAAACTAATATTTCCATTTAAATCCATTTCAAATTTCAGATTTTGTGTATTAAAATGAAATGCGGTCCACTGTCACACATCTGTGTTAATACAACCGTCTCTTCTCCTTAGTGTGTAAGGTGGAGCCTCGGGGGCTGATAGCTCGCAGAGTGACGGAGGTGGCCCAGTCGACGCTGGACATGGTCACCACCGCCGTGGATTACCCGCTGTGTGAGTCACTGCCGCCGCTCCCACGTCGTCCCCCCGGGGTCAAATGGGTTCAATGCTTTTGCACCAATCGGCCTCTGTGAACTGCATTGTAATTGCCAATTTTGCAATTTGAAAAAAGTGGGGTGGTTTTTGCCCTGTTTTCTCACAGATACAATCACGAGTTATGGAATAGCAGATTAGAGATTCAAACCATAAACATCTTGTTTAATCTTGGCATCCCAAAGTTGTCTTTGCACATCTGGATACGCATACAAAGTCTTGAACTCCGTACTTCCCGTCCGCTCCCCTCAGGCTTCGTGAAGGACGTGGCTCGGCCGGACTACTGGGTGCCGGACCAGGACATCGCCCAGTGCCACCAGTGCTCCAAGACCTTCACGCCTATCATGTCCAAGCACCACTGCAGGGCCTGCGGACAGGGCGTGTGCGGCGAGTGCTCCACTCGCGTCAAGCCCGTGCCCTCCCGCGGCTGGGACCACCCGGTCCGGGTGTGCGACGGCTGCCACGCCCGCACCGATGTCCTGTGAGCTTTTTCTAAAAACCGGGAAGACCTCCCGAGCGCGCGGAGGCCGGCGAGGAATCAATTACGCGGCGCCGACGCTGCTCCGACGCTCAGGAAGGAGCTGGTTTAACCGGTGCTGACTGAGGATCAGCTCCACATCTCATTCGCCCTCCTTGGTTCGTGAGGTAAAACATACATCATCTTCCGACTGGAAAAGTGACTCTTCTCAATCGGTAACGGCGGAGCTTTCACACTCGACTGTGGTCTTCCTCGTTCGGTCCTTTGGGTTTGCTTCGCTGCACGCGGACACTTTTCATTTAGACACGTTTGTTTGGTGAGAATGAGAACAAGTAAAAGGAATGCTTTTAAAGTACTGGGCCTTTGCAAAGCGCTCACCCTGGTAGAGCTGTTTGAGGTGATCTTGGTTTCTCTAAATCTCTCTTGAGGTATGAATGGAAAAAAACAAAAAACAGTTGTGACTTTTTTTAGTTTCGCCCGCGGACCGAAATCGATCTAAATGAGAGTGTGCCTTCGTGGGAATCCTGATTCCCGTTTCTACAGCTCGTCAGAATTCTTCTGTATGTGCAATAAGTCATGAGATTATGTGCCTATTTACAGAGCCGAGTAATCTACAGGCTCGCTCATCTAACTCCTACAGGTGTGTCCTCAGCAGGGGGGGTTGTGGAAATCTCTAGCACAACACATAACAGACATTCCGATGCATGGACATACGTGTGTTCTGATGGACTGAGGTTATTGTAAAAAACCTTTCTTAATATGTACTGAATGCACCTGCACTAGACTGCACACTCGTGTTGATGGAAATTCACTCAACGTGAAAATGAAATGCATTTAATCCGTCTACAAATAATCGTATTGTTTTTTTTCTTTCTTAAATCCGGCTCGTCTATGAATCTGTTCCACCGTTCTCTAGTCCTCCTGTCTTACCTCTTCATAATAATCATGCTTTATTGGCATTATACAATATGGTAATAAAGTAATAATTGTCAATCAAATAATGACAAATCTGCAGAATACGTCGGATGATAAGGCTGAAATCTGTAGATAAATGTCCTTATTTCCCCTGCAGGATGCAGACTTTCTGTTCGATGCTTCACTATAGAAATATTTTTTTCCTAGAACAGCCTGTATGTATATATTGTAATAATTAGTACCTCTGTTTTGCTTTTCTTTAAAGTAATAAAGGTCAGAGTTATTTAGCTGATTCTATGCAGAAGTTGGTGGTACTGCCTGTAATAGTTTGTTTGACCATAAAAGACCTTTTTATTAATGTTCAGTTCTTAAGTGGCTGCAGGTGGAAGAGATTATTTTATATAAAAGCTCAACATCAGTAAGAAGCCCGCATCTCTTTGGTTTAACAGTTCTCTCTTTTTCCACTTGCATTACCAGTAACTAAATTCCTTTCATCTAAAGCCGGATTTAAAAGTTTCATTCATATGATGTGTGTGTTTTTGGGCCCAGAGGCCCTTTTGTTCCCGTTTTGACGTGAACGCGTCAAACACCAGGACAGGTGGCTGTTACACACAGGTGCGTTTCCATTTCCCCCTCCCCCTCTCCCCCTCTCTCCCTCTCCTCTACGTCTGGTGAAGGTTATCAGCGCTCTAATGGACAGCTGACTAATATCCACCAGGCTAAATTGACTTAAGCCTCCCGGACTGATGCACAGAATGCCAACGTGGAGACGGCCGCATGCGTCAGAGTGAAGGACCTTTTGAAGTTGTGGACGTAACATAAGAGGGGATATAAAAATGAACTGAAGGAGTGAACGAGACTACTACTCCAAGAGGTAGAAACTAGTACACTGTGGAGTTGTTTCCGTCACGTTTTATGACCAAGTAATTAATTCCCTTAAATCTGGTGCTCAAAATTGCAAAATGTATGTCAATTTGCGATGTTTGAGGTAAACACCTCACGCTCCTCCATTATATTCACTTTCTATGTAATATGCTGCAACATATACAATAAAAGAAATTTAGAATAAATGTTGATGAATAAGATTTGAACACCACTTCATCTTCCATACTTTTTATTTACAGTCCATACCAATTTCAGAAAAATGTGTCATAGCAGATCATGCCGTTAGAACAGTCCTGCCCGGCGCTTTGACAGTGTAAAATTAGGAGGTTTATTCTTGCAGGAAGGAGCAGAGTTGTATCAGATACCTGCTGAGAGGTCTGTCTCATTCGTACGTTGCAAAAATGATTGTATCAATCAGATGTGAAGGTTTGAATGTTCTATTGAAACAAGTGTCTTTTTGGAGCTGTAACAGCTCTAGAATCCGCTGACATTTGCACGGTTAAAGCTCCATGAAACATTTCACACACACACACAAAGGGCACATTGATGTGTGTTTAAAAAGGCATTGAAACATGTCATAGTATAATATGTCATAGTAGGTAATGTGAAAAAAGTAATTGTTGCCATGAAAATGGCGTTAAAAATAAAAATCTTAGTAGTAAAAATTGCCAGGAAAACAAAAAAGTGACCTTCATAGAGAACCAGTGGGTTATTTGTTGGTGAAAGGAAAATATCCAGGAAAATATTCAAGAAACATTCAAGAAATGTTTTGCGAAAGAAAAAGTTTGAAAATAATATTCAAAAATTATTCAAAAAAATTATCAAAAAATATTTATGAAACTATTCAAGAAATATTCAAAAGAATGATTGATTCCAAAGATTATGATATGTAATAAGGAAACACCCTGTATTTTCTACAAAATTAAATGTCCCTATGAGACTTATACAAGTTCAAATTGTTGAGTGAAAAAAAAAAGATCTGATCCGATGAAACGGATGGAAATAAACTTTGGACATGCGCAGTTAAACAAAGACCTCAAAAGAATTGAGGAGCCTTTGCTCGATCACAGCTGCTGGTGGAGCTTCTGTCCCGCATAACATAAGGTGTTCCGTGTTGTGGTGTCCTGCCTGCACACGGGGGGGCGCCAGATGAGCACAAATACTCTGTCTGCGCCTTAGTGAATTATGCATTTTATGGGGGGGGGGGCGGGGGTCCTATTAGAAGTGAGGAAATGTGCCCTCTTTGCAAACAGACTTACTCATGTTTAATGTTCCCATTAGCAACGCTGGCACCACAAAGACGGTGCCGTAAATCCTCGGGGGCTCACCAGGGAGTCACATGTAAGGCGGCGCTGGGTGACCGGGTCTCGACATGATCACATGCGTGTGTGTTTCGTCTGCGGCGATGACATCACAAGTCATAAATGCATGATCCCCGTCACAGGCTGAGAGGAGCTTTGTTCGATTACATAAACACGAGAGCTCTGCAGTGTTGTCAGAGATGTCTTTTTAAAGAGACACAGGCTTCATGGACCCGCCAGGCCTGCAGGCCGGCCCCGCTCTGACACGCCGATGGGCTGCTGAGTGACAGCTGCAGGCGGGCCGAGGGGGAAGAGGACACTGTGCGAGTGTGTGGACTCTAGTCTCGCCCCGTCCTCGGCCAACCATCTGTTATTTAAGCAATCTTCAGATGTAGAAGTTACCATCAGACACGACTGAAATAGCCACAAAATGCAATGTGCTGGTTTGGTTTTCTTTCTGGACAGCATCACTTCAATCGAACAAAACCACAAACTTTGGTCTCCTTGTTGACATCAAAAGAGCTCCTCCTGCGCATTTAACGCTGCATCAGTAGCTCTTATTGTTGCACGCTAAATGTGTTTAATTTTTTTGATTGTGTTGACTTTGCATTTGTTCCCCCAGAGCGACATAAAAAACACCTGAAAGAAAATGTAAAATTTGCTTTCATCCACATAAATCCAAAATACACTGAGCTCAACATTCCACGTGTTCCATATGAGGTGTTGTCATAAGAAACGGCAGCGCTGCAAACACTTTGTCCCAAATGGCAGTCGGGCACAGATTGTGTTTATGTCTTGATGGATAACTGAGTGTGTGTATTGTGTGTGTACGTCAAGGCATACTGACTTTGGCCCTCAGGGTTTGAAGCAGCCTCAAATGCCAAGGCAAGGGCGCACACTCACACACACACACACACACACACACACACACACACTCTCTTCATGGAAGTCTGTCATTGTGTGTTTGCTCTCCACACAAGGATTAAAATGGACCAGCGCGTTGCGTCGTCCCAGCGTTACCCTCAAGGAAAACGTCCCCTCGCTGCTGTGTAGTGAACAAGAGGCCAGCGGCTTCACTGATCAATAGCAAACACACGCAATTAATCAGTGTAATTACTTCCTCTTAGATTCAAGACCTGCAAGGTCACATTGCCAACACTGTATTCAGTGCAATTAGCAGCATCAGGCCAGTGTGTGTGTGTGTGTGTGTGTGTGTGTGTGTGTGTGTGTGTGCGTGTGTGTGTGTGCGTGCGTGAGATTTCTGATATGTCAATTGAGATGGAGAAAATGTCAGCAGATCTCAGGTAAAATCTTTTCTAAACAATACGGATGTATGTGTCTGTACCTTTCTGTTATGAAGTAGCGGAAGAAGAATAAATGTGTGTGTGTGTGTGTGTGAGTGTGTGTGTGTGGCAGTGATGCATTATGCAGTGCTGATCTGACAATTTGGGCATGGCCCATTACACAAACACCATTACCGAGTCTACACTTATACTGCTATCAGACGCTGCCACCAGACAGACCGACAGGCGCTCTCACACACACACACACACACACACACACACACACACACACACACACACACACACACACACACACACACACACAGGCACATCCTTCATTTCCATCTCTATTTAATTACACAAATGTACAATGCAAGTGATGCAAAGAGTTTAAAGTGGCAACAATCTTTATTTTGCAGACACTAAAAGCAGGAGAGAGAGAGAGAGAGAGAGAGAGAGAGAGCGACATGGAAAGAGAGAGAGAGCTCTAGTTGGAAACAAGGCTCCACAGTGATGCCCCCCCCCCCCCCCCCCCAACAAAAGGATCTGCCCCTATTCCCTGCCCCCGGGAAAAAACCTTCAAATAATCTGTTCCCAGTGATCATAACACACACTTCAAATTTGGTTGCTAAGTGCGCAGAAATTGTGCGTTTAAATCCAAACAGACACACATACACGCACACACACACACACACACACGCACAACCACGTGCATGTTTGTCCGATCTGCCTTGAGAATACATTAAGATGATATTGCATTTTCAGCTCCTATTATTTCTTCCGGCACTTTAGTTTTGCACATAGGGGCCTGTTTTTGCTGACTGACGCACTTTTCAGCAGTTATAAATTAGCCTTTCGCTGCGTAGCCATGACAACCAGGCATCTCCCTCTGTGTAAGCATTCGTTTACTACATAGGACCATTTACAGTGCGCATACTTTTATACAATAAAAGTTTCTGTGTTCATTGTGAATAAACCTATATTTGAATTTGGTCCAAAAAGAACAACAAATATTTAAACTGTTATTAGGAAATAAACCAGATTATTATGTGATTTACGATATAAAGCTCAACGAATCTTCCACACTCACCGACTCTTTCCTCAGATGAGAGGACAATGTTCAGCGTGAGTGTGTGTGTGTGTGTGTGTGTTTCTCTCAGCCCTGAAGAAGAGAAGAGGCCTTGTCTCGTTCCATTAGTGACCCGAGCTGCAGCAGCAGCAGCGATCCGCGCTGGTTAGACGTCTAGAACTAAAACACATTTAAAGGGATCGTTTTGGGACGTTTTTGTATGTTTAATAGGGACATGTGAGAAGATCATTACCTCTTTCTCTCAGCAAGGAGGCAAATAAAAACCCTCCCAAAATGTTGGCCTGTGTGAGGAGATTTACTATTTTTCACATTCTGGAGTCTTTTCTTACTGATGGCTGACGTGCAGGAAAAAAAATAATGAAATATGTATTTCCGATGGTGCCAAAAAGTTTCTCTCCTTTTACAGGTCTACTTCTTTATATCAATTGGTTTTTCAATTACAAGTTTGTCCTGAATTCACTCGAAAACTGTATTGAAGCAAAAATGAAAAATCAGCAGCTGAGATCCCAGGAAACAGATGAGAGAAGAAACTGAAGCTGACGTTTGGAGAACATGAGAGAATACAGCAGTTTGTGAAAAGCTAAAAAGCCACCACTTACAAAACATCAACAGGAGTAATATTATATTACTTTATTTATCTTTTGTACAATGTAATTACAATACAAATATGTAGGTTTAAATACAAAAATTCTGTAAATAAAGATTAAAAAGAAATCCCACTGGTTTGCTTTGTTCCCATCACTAAACTATGGTTTTACAATCAAGTTCATGAGGTCATTCAGTTTGCTTTAACGCGGAACACAATTAACCCACATCTAGAACAGAGTCAGGCTAAAATATATTTTCAAAGAAATAAAAGCATTGATTTCATGAGAGAACCGGAGGGCAAACTGAGACATTCGGATTTGGGTTTTTTTTTTTTTTTTGGAGGAAGATTTTCTGATTCGTCCGAAAACAACAAGAAAAAGACCCGAGATGGTGGATCATCATGTGGATTTTTAGAAGGCAGCTTGTCGGCACGCTTCACATCTCTGGTCCGAGTACAGGTGTCCCGTGAAGGTACCAGAGGAACCAGCCGCACGCAGAGAACATTCCTGCTCTTTCTACGACTCAAGAGTTAAAACACAGAAAGCTTTGAGGGGCGTTATTGAAGTTTTGACTACATAGCGACTGGCGCACACTTATGAGGGCTGCAATTATATAATAAGCAACGTATTTGTTTAAAATAGGTTGTGAAGTGTTTTAGGAGCTGAGGAACACGACGCTGAACGTGCCACTGTTCTCTCCTTCAGTCTTTTCTCGTTTTCCTTTCTCCAAACTTCCTCTTTCCTCAAAGGTGCGACTCCATCCTCTCCTTTGGTTTCCCACATACAGGTTATCCCTCCTCCACTTTCCCTTCTGCTACTCCCCCGTTTTGTCTTTCCATTACACTTCCTTAAAAATATCCTCCCCACATCTCTTGCCTCTGCCATCGATCAGCTCACGCTCTCTTTTGTCCCCGTCATCCGTAGCGCACACGTGGGACGCACAATCACACTGTGCGTGATGAGGCCGCCGCGGCCTGCGTTCCAACACGTTAAGAGGATCGGGGGAAGTCGGAATGTAGTGCATCAGAATTCCACAGTGCTGTGCCGTGTTTCCACGGAGTCGTTCGTTGTGACTGAATTGTCCGGAGAAGATGGTGGCGACGCCTCGCGGCCCCCGCCGTGTGAGCGCGTGTACGTGGGGGCCAAGAGGTGGAAGAAACACGCCGCTGTGTACACTTACAGTCTCACATGTCCGCCACCCCCCCCCGAGGTCTTTTTGGTTCCTGTTACAGTTTCCCACAATGCTTTGCTTCTACCTGACGGATTCCCTCATGTTTGCTGTTCAAATAAAATAAATACAGGGGATTTAAAAGAACTCGGTCCTGGAACACTTTTAAAAAAAAAATCTTTGTTGAAAATAAAAATTACAATAAATAAAATAATTTGGCCATAAATCTCTACTATTAGTCAGTAAGTTATCTTGGGTTGGTAGAATTGGGTCTTGCACTCACAGCTGGTCCCTTCGGGGGATCCAAACTTTTAGCTGTTGAGCATCCGTCTGATCGTCAATCAACCGCTTCTCAGCTTCTCAGCTTCTCAGCTTCTCAGCTTCTCAGCACCCCCTTCTGACGGAGCCACATCTGCTAAACTCTCCACCCGCAAGCACAAACATCTCATGGGTTCGGAATGCATCTGAGCGGAGTCCCTTCACAAAGAAAGAAGTCACTGGCTTAAGCCCCTCCGCCACAACGTGCTCATACAGTACATCCAGGGACTCGCAGCGAGTGAAGTAAAGCAGCGTGAGTGAGCGGTGGAAGCAGGGGGGGGGGGGGACACCTGCTGGACGCCCTACAAAGCTCTCATGGGAGTGTAAAGGAAGCAACTAAGATCATCTTAACACGCACTCCCATGAGAGCTTGTAGCGAGCTGCTAGGCTACCACAGGTCCGACGCCTTCCTCAGGGTTTTAACTCCGGGGGGGGGGGGGGCAACGGGCCCTTTATTTTAATTCTTAAACTCTTCGTAAAATTTTTGGAAATCGGTTTGGGTGTGCTGCCCGAGGCTGTGCGTCCCGGGCTGGTGGGGTTTGGCCTCCAGCGCCGCCCACTTGGCCTCAAAGCGGTCATCGTCTTGGGAAACGCTGGCTGCCGGAGCCGTGAGCTGGCTGCCCTCCGGCGGCCAGCCGCTTCCGCCGCCGCCGCCGCCGCAGGTCCCGCCGATGTTACTGGTCCCGTTCTGGAGGGCCATCATGGCGCTGCTGTGCGGGTGGAGGCCATTGACGGCCGTTGATAACGGCGGAGTGGGAGAGAACGGCGGTGTGGAAAACCCGCCGGCGTGCCCGACTGACCCGGGTACTGCTGGGTAAGAGTGGTGCTGCCCGACCGCTCCGAGCACCCCGACTTTGGGCCCCCCCACGGCCGAGCTCAAGGCTCCGCCTGCACCGGATGAGCCCGTGGCGGTGCAGAAGGCGTTCGCCACCATTTGCGATGGCGTGATGCCGACCACAGGCACGCTGGCGTTGGGATATGTCATACTGCTGGCCAGGCCGGGCATGTAGGTCTGCATGTGCACAAATGCTGGTTGAACAGGCTGGCTGGCAAACATGCCCACAGGAGCCGGGGCGGTATCGAAAGCCAAAGGGAACGGTTGCATGGAGGTTGGAAGTGAGCCCGGGTGTCCGGGGAGGGAGGACTGCATCATGGAGGCCCCGGACATGCTCGGACCGGACATTGTGGGAATGGACATGGACGGTAGGGACATCGGGGGGCCGGACACCGGGGGGCCGGGTATCAGGGGAACCGACGATATTGACATGGGTGGGAGGGGCATCAGCGCCTGACTCGCGAGAACACAGGCGCCCGATAGGAGCGGTTTGGACAGGGTGCCGAGCGGCGAGGGGACACCGGACACCGAGGCAGCTGATACGACCGCCTGACTCGTCGCGGAGGGTGGTCCGGGGATGATGGGGATGGGGGGGCCCTGCTGAGCCTTGACAGCCTTTGAGACCTCCTCCAGCCACTTCTCCGCCTCGGAGGGTGTGCGTCTGTGTCCGCTCTGCATCTGTATCTGCATCTGCATTTGCATCTGCATCGCCACGGAAACCGGGGGAGGAGAGTGGAGCGCAGGCTCCGGCTGCACCCAGGAAGACGTACCTGGGGGAATAAGGGTTAAGATTTAGACCGCCGCTGCGTTCAGTCCAGATTGTGCTCCATGTGACCCTTTTCCTCTCTCTCTCACCCTGCATTGGTCCCGGTGGTGGGGGCAGGGCAGGCGGCACTGTGCAGGTTTGGGGGCCATTCGCCGGCAAAGAAGGGCTGGAGAAGAGCTCGTCCGGTGGGTTGGTGAAGGAGTTGTTGATCTGGCTGCACAGGGCGTTGATGCTGCAGTCTCCCTCACACGGCAACCCCAAGTCCATGTCTGGTACCAGCAAGAAAGGGACAAACGGAGAGGAGGTGGGGAAGGAGAGGGAGGAAAGGTGGAGTGGATTGAGGAACAAACGAGTGGCAGGAGGGGGAGACAGAAAGTGTTTATTCATTAGTTTAACACTTAGCATTAAAGAAACCGAAGGCCTGAAGATGTGAACTGAAAAGCCACGGAAGCAGGATTCCCGAGACAAACGTTGTGCTCACCTCGACCTTCTTCCTAAAAATAAAATAATTCATACCAAGCATAACACGCATGTACGCAATGCCAGGCCTGTTACGTCACTGCCTGCAGCGCGTTGTGCTCCGAAGACGCCTCGGATCGAGGTGGATTTGGGTTAGCTTATCCATGTTCTTAAAACAACTTTAACCGATTTATCCAGCGAGGGATTAGGGATTAAATGATCCTGTCTGAGTTTGGGTTGGAACACAGCTTTTTAACCGTCATTTCACAGACGGCAAGTTATAAATAAACATAATATCTAATTCCCCGTTCCTTGTCTCCCGGTCCCTCCCTTCACAACAAAGGCCTCCGAGACAGAGGAAGTCTGTCTCTTCCTTTCCTCAGCTCGCTTACCCCCACCCCCTCCCCCCTATACTTTTTACATTGTGGTTCTGCTCGGAATGAATTTCTTAAATGCACGTTTTCCCCACAGATTGGCCCATTTTGGGTCAAAACCCCCAAACTTTTACAAGCCGGCCCTTCCTTTACGTGCACATCTCTCTGGTGTGTGTCACTGTGCGGCATACCGGCCTCGGGACGTCCCGCAGGGTGCAGAGGGCGCTGGAGGCATGTGTAAGGTCTCCCACTAAAGACTCCTCCGCGTTCCGTTCAGCAGACACCGACCCCCGTGACCCTCCCCTTCCTTTATTCCTGTCAGTGTCCCAAAAGCCCTCTAAGCAGCTCACACGTGCGGCTAAATGTGAGTGTGTTTTTTCTGTGCAGTGGCACGCTGAGGGATCGCAGAGCGCTTGCTGAAGGCTAACCAGGACAGCTGATCGATCGCACAAATCAATACACGCATTGTGCGAGAGTCACAAGGGGGGCAGAGTGTGTGTGTGTGCAGAGGTCGAGACATAAAGCATACAGATATGTACTTTAACCGTCACGGGAGAGGGAAACGAATAGAGTGGAGAGGAGCGAGAGTCGATTCCAGTCGACTCTCGTCTCTCCTGATGACTGTAATCATCCCGTGGCAGCGCACCGAGGGGGCGTGTGCCCACCTCTGAGGGGTAAGTCGGTTATTATTAATTGTCCTTAGCAAGAGAGAGCTTTCAGAGTCACACGGCGAGAACAGCACATAACTGCTTTCTGTCGTGCATTCAATGGGGGAAAGAATGGATGACTAGAACGGACGCGAATTTTTGCAAATCCCTTCAGAATTGTATCGCATCAGTCGTGAGAAGTGATTCCTCGAGTTGGGGGTAATAACGTGTTTCGTGAGGTCAGTAACTTTAAGTTGTGAATACAAGCAGCAGTGATGTCCCTTGACTTCTTTGTAAACCAAATAACAATTTGGGGGTTTGAGTTCCCTCTAAAAAACCTTTAAAAAGCCGCCAACCAGAGAGGCCTTTGGATCACCTCTGGAAACCAAAATAAAAAAGTTTTTAAATGTTCAGCAGCTTTATTAGAATCATCCCATAATTGTCTAAATTTTGCTCATTGGCTTTTCCACTTGGATTGAAAACATTTAAATAATAAATAAATAAAAACACACACACATTGCGTATTTGTTTGACCTGAATCCAAACCTCACGAGGGAAACTGATATAAAACGGGAATCATCCTTTTTCCGGGCGAGCAGGTCAGCGGGTCACCAGCAGCATTCGCGAGTCAAGCTTCCAGAACCTCTGGACTCACCGGGGTTCTTGTCCTGGAAGTCGGTCTTGCGTTGCAGAGTGGACGGCAGGTCGTTGAGGCGCAGCGACAGCTGCCTCTTGAAGGGAGAGTTCCTCTGGCTGAGCGCCGGGAATCCCCGGAACGAGCCTTGGCGCACCAGCTGCTCGATAGGCGCGTGGCGCCGCGGGATGGCGTGAGGCCCGCCAGGCTCGGGCCGCTCCATGGGGGACGCCGCCCCCTCGGGCGGGGAGGCGGTTCCGGGCGGGAGGGCCGGGACGGCAGGAGGTTGTTCTGGAGGAGGAAGTGGGTCCGGCGGTCATTTTTATTCATTTCGCTCCTTGTGCGCAATCTACGGATGCCGAGAGCGACACTTTGAGATCTACCTTTCCTCTGGTCCTGCAGCTTGTCGTCCCTCTCGCCGCCGCAGCTCTGCTGGCAGGACGGGTTGGAGCGGAAGGAGCCCTCGCGCACAAACGAGGTGCGACTGGCGTCGAAGGACGCCGTCACGCCGCACTCCTTCTCCCGCCGCTGCTTCCTCTCCAGACAGGCGGCGAAGGCGCAGCCGACCGCGTGGCTCAGCCTCTCCCCCTGCAGGAGGCGAAGGGAGCCGACAGGTCGAACCCATTCACGCATTCGACCTCAGACCTCTTCTGGCGTCAAACTTCAGCACGAGTTCATCTCAAAAACACTTTTTTGACCCTCCCTCCCTCTTGGTAGAGCGCCATGGCGGCCCGGGGAAGAGACAGTTTGGTTGAGGGGATATGGAGGGTGGGGTGCAAATAGAGACAGACAGAGATGGGGGAGGGTGGAGGGGAGGTGGTGGGGGGGGTAACTCCACAGGCTTCTGTCTAATCCCCTCTCCTAATCCCACAGGTCTCTATTCCATCCACATGAATAATCTACCAGTGTCTAAACTGATGAAACCGCCATGGGATTAAGACCTCGACGCAGCATGACGTCATTGTTCCTGCAGTTGTGTTTAAATTACAAAACTCCTCATCCCAAAGTCTGGAGGTCATGAATCCGGTTAAAACGGCTGACGAGTCTAAATGACAATTGCAACAGAACTGAAGCTGCTGATTTTCATTAAAGATTCATCTGCCTTGTTCATTCCGAGGTAAATGGCGTTTTGTATAAAGGGACCACTGCAGATACAGAATGAAACCCCATTCATTCTAACTATAAATACAGCCCTAACACAAAAAGTGTTATTTTATTCCCTAGGTCTGATTTTCGTGGCCATAAACAAACACCATTACCCATAATCCCTTGAGCATCGCGGGCGAACAGCACAGGGCAAGAGGCTGTTTTTAGCTCAGCCAAATCGACGTTACAGTTATAGTATAATATAAATCGTAGTGCACCATAATTATCAGTACTAAAGATGCTTTTCAGATAACATAAGTAACTGCACTGCCAGTTTTCTACACTCATCACTCATTTGTAGTTTATCTTTGTTGATTTCATGAAGGTTTCAATTTTAGTCAGACAGCCATTTGTCAATTTGTCGACGCGCCTGAGCTTTTTCTGAACGGGTAGAATGAGACCGGGGGGGTCAGCGGAGCGCTCACCGAGTCTTTGAGAGCCATGAAGCAGTGGCACATCCAGCGCCTGGTGGTGCCGTCCCGGCAGATGTAAGAGAAGGCCTTGTCGTAGTTGCGATCGGGGGCGCAGAATGAGACCTTCTCTATGGTCTGGTCCACGATGAGGTCCTGAAAAAACAGAGAGAATCAGATTTCAGTTCACTTCATTTCGTCCCTCCGGCAGGTAGATGGAGCTTCTGAAGCTTCTAAGTCGCACGTGACCTGGTTCGGCCTTCGTAGCGGCGCCTCAATGACAGACGGGGAGTATAGCGTGCCGATTTCAGCCCCCCGCTAACCCCGTGGAACCCCTCTCACTCCCGACGTATTTGCACTTCCACCGGTAACAAAAAGGGCGGGGGGGCTAATGACCCCGGACCCGCTTTCATCTGCGGGATGTTTCCACCGCTTGTCCCTTCCTTCTATGAAAGAGGTTTTCATCCCGTCCCGGCGTCTGGAGTCACTACAGAGGAAACTGAAAGGGGCCCTTCTCTTTCTCCGCGTACACTAAAGGCCCCCCTCACCTCTTTGACCCACCCAAAAGAAAAAAAGAAACTAGAAAGGGAAGGAAAGCGAGAGGGCGAGAGGGAGCAGAAAGGGGGGGAGAGGCCTCACACACTCGTCCACGCACTTCCTCCCTCTAATAAAGCGTCGCCCCGAAAAAAAAACAAAGAGGGAGGACGAGGACGGGAAACGAGGAGAAAAGGGGGGGGGGGAAGAGGTGGAAGAAAAGCGGCGCATTCATTGTGGGCCAATTAGTGAGTGAGGGTGGGTTGCTGGTACCGAGGTGAAAGGTCAGCGAGTTGTTGGGTGTGTCCCACGCTTTGCCGCGTGTGTGTTCGGGGTCTGAATCTTCAGACGAGAAGAGAGCGAACAAAGCGGGATGAAGACGACTCGAGTCCCCGACTCGCTGACAGAGACTCCGAGCGCCTCCATGGCGTCTTCTCCGTTTCTTTCTACTGGTGCGCTGTGAAGGCCGTTCGCAGCTTTGTCTCTATTGTACGCGTATTAACCGGGGGAGGGGGGGGGGGCAGTCTGAAAAGCCGCGTGGGCGCCGTCAAAGACACCGTCACTGATGGGTTTGTGAATCGAATGTTAAATCTTTGTTATAAACGTGTTCACAGACGCTCACCAGCTTCTTTTTCTTACTGAAAAGTGGATCAAAACAGTAAAGTTGCTGGTTTTATAAAACCAAAGCAATGAGTTCAACAATACTGATCGGGCTGTATCTAATGACATATTTATATTTATCAATTATTTACGACCTAAACCTAAACTTAAATGGTAAAAATCTTTTTTTTTCTTTGTGGTTAAATAAATTTATTTATGATGCTGTCAGATAGCGGCTACCTATCTTTTACGGCTAGACGGCAACAAATATGGATGGAAGCAGAATATTAGACATAAACATTCATCTATCGGTGCGTCTCATCGTACTTTATTATCGGTTTATATGATTAACATTGTATACTGTCTAATGCCTTCTATGAAGCACACACTGATGGAAAGAAAGGAGGGAGATTAAAGTGTGGGGGGGGGCGAGGGGGGAGGTCACGGTTGTGCCCTCTAAAGATAAAAAAAGCATCGGCCTTTCCTCTATTCTGTGCTGCTCTTCATTCTGCTCCGATTTCAATAGAGACTCGCTCTGCTGGAGGCCTCAATGGCCGCCAGACACTCAAGTGTGTGTGTCTGTGTGTGTGTGTGTGTGTGTGTGTGTGAGCGTCCCTCCCCCACTCTGCACCACCAGCATGAAACCACGACATCACATGTGTGACGCGTGACACACGCGTCGCACACATCCCTTCAAGAGACGCACACCTCCCCGAGATGGAGACGACGAGGACAGAGGACATGATGGAACGAGCCGTTTGCTTACCTTGGTTTTTTCGTCCACCACCCTGAGTCCATCTGCTGAGACCCACAACACCGCCTTCACCGTCTTCTTCCCGCTCTGCAGAGACGAAAGAAGCAGCCACAGTGGAGTAAATTCATTACCACTCAAGTCACACGCTGAACGCATCCCGCCAGATGTTGCCTGATCAACCAGCCCGTAAAAAAAGACGCGCACGGTTCTACAAAGGGATGGTGGCACCGTCACAGCGTGGCGAGGTGGAAGGCGGGTTAAGAGGTCAAAGCGTGCAGAGGGCCGGGCTAAAAGTACACAGGCTAAAAGAGCTGTGCACGAGTGTGTGTTTGTGCGTCTGCGTGTCTCTGCGTGTGAGACGGGAAGGGCAGAGCGCCGCGGGAAGTGGCTCTGAAGCCCGCCGATGGCGTGCGGAGAAACTGAGAGCGACGGAGGGGAAAGAGAAAGAGGAAGAGGAGGAGGAGGAGGAGAGGAAAGCTAAATAGGGAAAGCTGATGAAGATGGAAGGTAAGAGGCGCGACCCAGCGGGGGAGAATCAAGGGGGGGGAAACGAAGGGAGCGGCGGCGGGAGGAGAGAAGGCGACAATCAACGCGCGAAACACTCGCTGGATCTTCTGACCGAGCGCCGCCTTCGCTTATAAATGAAGCCCGGCTTACAGATGTGAAGACACAGACTCGGTTGTGTGTGTGTGTGTGTGTGTGTGTGTGTGTGCGTGTGGGATGCACTTACAACTTTCAGCTTCTTCACCGCATCCTCGCACACGTGCATCCCTCTGGACTCCTCCACCTCGACCAGCCCCAGGTACTGCAGAAAATCAGAGCAGAGCTTCAGACGGGTGCAGCTCGGAGCCGACGAGGCAGACTGGCCTCAGACGGAAACCTCCGGGGGGAAAAAGAAACGACGGAGCGGCGAGAGAAGGCGGCCAAAAGCCTCGTTGGGCTCCGTTAGCGTCTCGCGAGTTGACGAGGGAAAGTCGCGCCAATGAGCGCACATTCTTGATTCGGCGCCACGTGTTTTGCGGCTGACGATGAAGAAGGGACGTTGAGCATTTATCGCCGCACAACCCTTTTTGTTGTCTCTGCAGTGTTGCGCTGAGGAAAACCCCCAGAGACGCAATTAAAGCTCCAGTCAGAGGCCACGGAGCTTTTGGGGGGGATTGTTCCCTGAACTGAAATACGTGTTGTAAACAAAAAGTCTGTCAGAGTTATTTAAACAGAGCTGGAAGGTTTAAAACAAACCGGAATGAATGAGTGAGAGCTCACGAGAAGGTCGGCAGGAGCAGTTTTCGCTTTATAAACTGCAGGAATTGGTGCAAATGCACGATGAGCCACTTAAATCAACGCTTTCCTGATGAGTTTGGTGGCTGCAGGAAGACGGATGGTTTCATTTGGAACACTTAACTCATTGTGTCAACGAATTTTTTGCTCCAGAATGGGTCTCTGCTTCAAGGCAGAGACGTAATGTCATTATAATTAATACCGATATCATACTTGTTACACGTTTTGCTCTAAACAGCAGACGTTGCTCAGCTCGGGTCACTGAATGATTATTTGGTGTATCGATAGTCTTCTTGAGAACTACACCAATGGGGCCAGTTCATATAAAGCCCATTAACTCATATTTACTGAGGGAAGAAGAGTTCTTTTCTCACAGACTTCTACGAGTCGCCCCCTCGCATTCCGCACGGGCTTCATCATGAAATATTTGTCTCGGTTTGCTTCACTTTGTGAACCTTCCAGCAGCACATTTCGCTTTAACTTTCCCCATCACTGCTCCTCTAGGAGTCAACTTTTCACTCAGAGCAACAACAAAAAAAAAAACCGTGCAGCCGATGCAGTTGAGCACCTCTCACGGAGCCGTTTATAGTGCACGAGCGGTGGATGCATTAAGAGTCCGGCCGGGCATGTGAAAAAAGGGGGGACGAGGAGGAAAGAACAGCAACAATGAAGGGACGGAGAGCTTTTCTTTAGTGCTTCCATCCCTCGTTGTAAAGCTCTGGGCTCCACTTGGCCGCCCGTCTCCTCTCAGCATCGCCATCGGGACGCGTCCTCATTAGCTTTCCTCTCACGTTGCCTTTTCCTCCACTGTTCGCTTCCTTCACCCTTCATCTTTCTCCCTCCGCCTCGTGTTCCTCTTCTGGTTCTCTTTCTCTCTGTGTTTCATATCTCAGAACGTCTCGTCCCTCCCCCTCCCCCCCCGAGGCGTCCTCATCCCTCACCCTGTCATTTCCTGCGGTGTCTTTAATCTACACCTCATCCCTCCTTGTCTGGCCTCCATCTCTCACCGTCGTTCAACAAATGACTTTTGGCGCTCAGCTGCTCGCGCTGGTTACCGTGAACCATAATGCCTCCTACGTGCACTCATTTTACATGGAGAACTCATCTCAGTTAATAGCAGTCACACACACACACACACACACACACACGTTAGTGTTTATTACGCGTAAGACGTAAGAAACGTTCCCCCTGGGGAGGAGACACTCACCCGAACGGGGAAGTTACATTTGCCCTTCCGTACCGCCTCCTCGTCCGCCTGCCACTGGTGCGGCCTGCTGGCCTCGGGCACGTAGGTGGGCTTCTTCCTCCTCAGGCTCTGGCGAAGCTTGTTCATCTCCGGGGTCACGTGCTCTCTGGTGCTGTGGACACAGGACGGGAACGTCGTGAGAGTCATCCTCACACGTGGGTGTTTCACCGACGAGATCTGGGCACATTCTGAGCGCATTAGTTTAGTGTAAAGTTGATCAAATGTGTCCCTTAGAAGTAGTTGGTTAACACAAAACTGTTCCATTTGTGCACAAACTCCTCCTCCTCACTATTCATGAATGAGTGAATTAGGTGGTTTGTCATGTTTTTTGGAACCAGGAGCCTGAAGGGCTGTTGAAAATTATCCCTATAATTTGCTTTAAAAGCACACAAAGAGTGACACACAATTAGCTGACTCGTGTAACACACAAAAATCAACACTCCTTCCCACTCGACAAAAGGGTAAGGCTCGTTAAAAGCGAAATAAACGCAACAAACTATCATTTAAATCACAGCCGGTGGAGAGCCTTTCATCAGAGGTGATTCATCCGGGACGCCGAGTGGGGGGCGGGACGCGTGTCGTTTGATCGGCGCTCCGCTGATCCGGGTCACACAGGTAGAACGTTAACGCTAATGAACGCAAAGCACTATCATCTCTCCAAGAAACAACGAGGACGCCGAGCTGATCGCCACACACACACACACACACACACACGCATCCACACACACACAATCCTCTCTGCGCTGCTTAATTAGACCATTCAGCCCGCTGGGCTGTTTGGCGATGTTAATTCCCTGTGCACAATGAAACATGACGCCATCGAAACATGACCTGCTTAAAAATGATAATTACTGTTTTCAATCCTCCGCAGTCACATCGACCCTCAGCAGAAGTGGAGCACAATGAAAGGTCTCCCATCGTGTGCCCCCTATTTCTATTAAGGCTTCTTCTTTATATCGGGAAGAAGAATGAACTGTTTTTTCCCTTTTCCCACTGTTTTTTTTAAGTCACTCTCCACATGTTCTTCCCTTTTAAAATGATTGTAATTGCAGATAAATGAAGGGCAAAGGGCCACCGTCTGTTAAAAGTAGACCTCTGTGGTTTTCTTACCGTCTGGTTGGCCCATGAATCGGCATCCTGGACGCGCGAAAGCACACAAACATCACACCAAAACTTTCTTTGCTCTGCCGCATAGAGTTTACAAGCATATATACACACACACACACACACACACACACAAACATCACTTCTCATAATCACTGCTACGTCACCAGTAATGGATGCCAGAGGCAGTCAGACGTTCCCGTGGGTCTCACACACACACACACACACACACACACACACACACACACACACACATACATTCAAGTAGCTTCACTTATTCCTGGCATGTGAGACAGGCGACCTCTTCCAAACACACACACACACACACACACGCTCTGCAGCTCTGCACATGTCGATGGTTGATCCAGTCATTTCTGGGCAGAGTTGGCTGGCAGCAGGTGTGTGTGTGTGTGTGTGTGTGTGTGTGTGTGTGTGTGTGTGTGTGTGTGTGTGTGTGTGTGTGTGTGTGTGTGTGAAGGCTAGCTGTGTGATACCCGACACCAGGGAGGCGGAGGGTTGTGTTGTAGTGGACGGGGGGGGGCTACACGATGCCCTGCCAGCGCCCTCATATGGATTATGAAAAGAGGAGAGCGGGTAGAAACCCGATGAGCGACGGGATGCGAGGCGGCTGACGGGAAAAGAGGAAACTGACTGGAAGAAGCGGAGGCGCGAAGGAATGGCGTCTTCTCATCAAATGGAAATGTTTAACCGGCAAAAATACCATAAGGACAGAAAGGACAAACCAGCAACACAAGAATAACTCTTTAAAAAGAAATCCTTTCAAAATGTCAACAAACTTAACCTGGATTAGAGTTATTGTCTTGAAAGCACCTGAGGGACGTTTGTCTGCACATTAAGAAACAACAATATAGTGTCTAATGTAATTTATCTTCCATATTTTATAGGATATACTTCTGTAAATCCTTTGTCTGCTAAAGAAATGTGAAGCCAAACGTATTAAACGGTCTTTCCCAGTGAGATTTCATGCTTGTGTGTCCATTGGCAGCTCGGGACCGAATCAGACAAAGAGCCTGAACTGTTCACCAGCGCACTCACTGGTATTTATTGAGTCCTTGTAAAAGGATCAAAGATGTTCCACCCTTAACTACGGAAATCCTCTCTAACCGCTGTTTTTAAATATTACCCGTATGGATTAACGGGGCTTAGAGCCTCTGTGAAAAACATTCACCTCCACTTTCATTGACAAGGAGGCGTTTATGCAAATGTTCCTCTACGATTACGCTGCGCTAATTAGGCTAAGTGGTACTCCATTAACACCAGTATCCATTCGCAAATCGTATCTACAGCTCAAACAAAGGTTCAGATAGTACACGGCACACTATGGGTCCCTGCGTACGTCTGTGACGTGATCTCGCCCTGATGCTAAGCTAACGCGCTGCTCCCTGTAGCCACGCATCGATCTTTGATTAAACTTTAAAGACTCGGCTGTGCAGGCGGAACGAGAAGGGGAAAAGCATCAAGATAGATGCATGAGCCAACGGCGCAAATGTTCCCGCTCTCGTCACGAGATCCTCGCCAAACTCATGAGCACTTGAGCGCAGACTACACGAACAGGAGGCCCCGGCGCCAAAAAACACACCGCTGCCGAGTCAGCGGCCATCTGGCGCGCACCGTAGCCGAGGGAGACGACCTACGACCCGATGCGGCCTGATGGCGGCACACAGTCGAATAAGTCCCCGCCGCTCGGAGACCCCGGATCGTGGGCGGTGCGCAAAGCAAAGCGGGTTTCGTGAGGCGGAATATCTGCAGCTCCATCCGCGTGAATGTGAGGAAATGGCGTTCGCAGGGACGGGGGTTTGGCGAGAAGGCTTCGCCCACGTGCGGCGCAGACTAATCGAGCTACGTGTCAACAGTTTGGCTCCGGCTTGTTACGTCGGTATTTGGACTGTTAGCAGGTCGGCGCGTGTGTCCTTAACGATGTGCTTCAGTAAATTTACTGGGATGAAACAAAATAAAGGATGAGGTCATACTGCATTTGTGCGTGTGTGTGTGTGTGTGTGTGTGTGTGTGTGTGTGTGCCTCTGTATACCTCCACACCTTGTTAAGACTGCATGACTCACGTGCGCCAGCTGTGTTTGTGCTCCACAGATGTGAGTCCGATTGATATGTTTGCCCTCTCCTCTCATACGCACACAACCATGCGCGCACACACGCGCGCACACACACACACACACACACACACACACACACACATGCAGTGCTCCTCCCTGATCCAGATGTTCTGCGTTCAACAGCGGCTCAGAGATAAGGGTGAAAACGGGACACACTCCTCCCTCACACTGATGCTGGCAAGACAGCCCGTACCGGGAGGGAGACGGAGGAGTGATTTCACCACACACACACACACACACACACACACACACACACACACACACACACACACACACACACACACACACACACACAAAGACACGCACACAGTGAGTCATTGCCCACCTCACATTACGGTAAGCCGTGTGTGTGTGGAGCTCTGGGGAGAGGCAGAGTGTGTGTGTGTGCACAGGGGATTGTCTTGGCTTAGTCATTGAGCTGACTACTTTATATGGACACGCTGTCCCTCTCTCTCTCTCTCTGTCTGTCTCTCTGTCTCAGGTTGTGACTTTGTGGCTGAGCAGTGGGAGAGGAGGATGGCGTGAGTACGTTGGAAGAAGGCCTTGTGGAGAGGAAGGGAGGAGGAGGAGGAGGGGGTGAGGAAGGTCGATGTCAGGATGACGCTCATATTCAGCAGCAACGCGAGTGCATCACCTCCACTTTCTAGTTTCTTTCTGCAGTCAGAAGGCACAAAAGTGACACACTTTTTGTTGTTGTTGTTGTTCCCTCAGCACAGTAAAGTGCGACTCTGCTGCTGGGAAACGGAACATATCGGCACAGGAATCCGCTGTCCAACATCAATAATAAATGACATCACACGTGACACAACTCTGTATCGAAGCACTATTCATAAAAGTTTGTCCCTAACGCTTCATAATCATTAATCCATCAGTTGATTAGCCGTCAGGAAGACTGCGACCTTCACGTTTCTTTCCTGTAATTTGTTGACTTATGTTCCTGGGTTTCATTAACTTAACAATAGATTATCTTTCATGCCCGTTAAAAAAAAAAGCCTGTGCAGTCACATAAACACGCACATGAGGTTCCTTTTACAACCAGCTTGAAATGTCGCTCGAGCGGTGACTCATCTGTGAGCTAACATGAGGCGATGTGCAGTAAAAACAATGAAATGAAAAACACGTTAGACACAAGCACATTGTGCTGACACACACACACACACACACACACACACACACAGAAACGTGACCCAGTTTTTGGGCCCTGCAGACTTTAACTGACACAGAGTGACCCGGATAAGGACACAGACTATTACTATCATCCGAATCTCCCCTCCGTCTCGCTCACATCAACACACAACAAGTGACAGGTGGTCTGGTGATTAAAAAAAATGTAAAAAAACAGGGCGCTCGCGTCCCAACCGAAGCCCTAGAGGACCGGACGGAGACCTCAGCAGAACCGCTGCAACAAACGCAGATTTTCATGTAACGAACATGAATAATTCCGCGTGGAAAGAGACAAATATATTTGTTTTATTGGCAGAGGATGTCTGTTTACTCTGCGTTTGATCATCACAGCAGCAGACCGCTGTCAGATTTAAGGATCGATAAGACAAAAGCTTGCTACTTGACAGCTTTGTAGCACTGAACTGATCTTTTAATATGATCACACCATTTAAAAGCCCCTTTGACCAGGCTTTTAAGTGATTTCAGAGACTTAAAATACTCATCTTTACTTACTTACTGGGTTTAGCGTAGCGCAGCACAACAATATCGTCAAAAAGTGGATTCCAACAGCTCAACATCGGGTCCCTTGTATTCCAAAGAGAAGAATATGTTGTAAAGTTTCAGAGTTGTTGTTAATTGGACTTCCCTCTTGCACGCTCGTTGTTTCGTATCCCTCAGAAACAGGCCCCGGCATTAATTTAACTCCCACAAAGAGAGGGATCTGCAGAGAGCTGCACACATGCAGGAGGCTTCTGAAGCATTTCTATCAGCGAGGAGGGAAACAAACTAAATGGCATCGGCTCCTTTTTGTCGACATTACGAGAGTGTGTGTGTGCGTGCACGTGCAGCCCGCTCCATAAAGCACATACAGTCCAGTCCATAAGGTGCATGTCGGTTTGGCTCGACATGGAGGCTGTAAACTTCAACAAACAACACGGGGGAGACACACCGGACGCGATGACGTCCCCGTCAACACATGCATTCATCCGATTTCTAATAACAAAAGGTGGTAGGAAGATGAGAGTGTGTGTGTGTGTGTGTGTGTGTGTGTGTCACAACGTCATCTTGGTTACAGATGCCAATCACTGCAGCTTGACAGTGACGGGTAGACGCACGCTGTTCTCCCTCTGACCCCCGTAATGCAATGTGATCCTTTCGGGGGGGGTTCTGAGCAGGGTGAAGCATTACAGAGAGCTGTCACAATATAATCATAGTCATGTGTGTGTGTTTGTGTGCGTTCGCAGGCTGGTGCTCATCTTGCATAATGGGATTGAATGGACCTCTTTGACTCGGGCTGCAATGCACACTGGGAATTCCGCGCATTATCGCAGTAACAGGTGGACTGAGCGCCAGTAAACGTGACTTGATGAAGAGGTGGCTCAACGCGCTGATCTGGGACCAGTTTTTCAGTCTGAAAACAGTCGAGCAACACAAGCAGCCGTACACTCAGACAGGCTAACGACATGCTAACAGTTTAGCCAGATCCCCTCTGAATCTCTTCATTTAACGCGAAATGAGCGGAAATATTTGTAATATTCTCACAGGTCAAAGCACACACGGCGGTGGCAAGTGAGACTAAGATGAACCGCGGCGTTGGCGAGACAATTGTGGCGGAACGCAGAAACTATCCTTAAACACCAGGCCCCAAAAATCAGACATAAGACAAAGTTCAGACATCCGAAGTAAACGGTGAGGAAAAGCACTTTGAATGAGACTTGGAGGGGAGCGGATGCAGGACGCAGCGCAGGGTCCCGACTGTGGCTGATGGAGATTTAGTGACGCTAACAAACTGACAGCAGACCCGCTCCCGGAATTCTCCACACACGCATGCGATCCGTGCAGCGAGGACGGAGCGAGGAGGCCGAGGAGGCCCGTCTGCAGGATTCTGGGAAAACATCCTGTAATTAAAATGATCTGCTTCCCCCGGCCTTCTTCTGCAAATGCGATTGTGCCGGGAAAATTGCGTTAGCTCTGTGTGATCCAGGGCAGTCACACGTCTACACACACACACACGCTCTGTCATCTCGACAACACCGGGAGACACACACCGATCCCACACCTATTATCCTCTTCCTCCAGGCTTATCATTCCGCAGCTGTGTCCCTGCCACGCCTGCTACTGCTTCAGCACCCACCCACCCAAGTTAAGCCTGGAGAGCACTGTCTGTGTCTGTGTGTGTGTGTGTGTGTGTGTGTGTGTGTGTGTGTGTGTGTGTGTGTGTGTGTGTGTGTGTGTGTGTGTGTGTTTTAGCATGGAAACCTGCGTCTGCCCACCTAATTCTTTTTTTTTTCTATGAAAAATGTTGCTTTTCAGTGTACACATCAAAGAATGCGTTGCGTTTTTGCACAAGAGTCCGTGCATGCTTGAATGAGTTCATACCTCTGTGTGTGTGTGTGTGTGTGTGTGTGTGTGTGTGCGCTAGTGAGTCAGAATTTGGTCCAGGAACGGAAAGATTAACACAACAATACCCAAATCCCCCCCTGCCCTTGAACAATGCAGGCCGAGAGGACACGGACCACGCTAGCCGCGTGCGTGTTTGTGTGTCCCTGAACATGCATTCATGTGTGTACGCCCGTTTGCATTCATACACTTGTGCCCATGGTAGAAAATGTGTGTGTGTGTGTGTGTGTGTGTGTGTAAGCTAATCTAAGCACAGTGCAGCTAGGCGTGAAGTGGAGCAGTCTAGTCGATACGCTCCAGTATCATAATGTCATGGCGTGTTCCCACTCTGTGTTCCCCGCTGTCAGTCTAGACCGGGCGCCGAGGGCCGGCTTATCAGCGCCGCCTCATCTCTGGTGCGCTCTCCTCCCCCGGGGGGGGGGGGAGTTTAACGCCACTTTCAATCACAATAGTACTTCAGTCAAACAGCCCCCAGCCGAGCCAACGTCTGGTCTTGACTTTTGTAACCTTTTCTAAGGAGAGTTACTCCTAATGTTGATACCAGGTCATGTGATCCTAGAAAATAAGAAACACGGCTGTCTGGGATTCAAAAGCTCCTCGTTTCCGAATGCTTTTCCTCAGCTTTTCCTTCTCACGCTCTGCTCGCACGTGCCATCTTTCCATCCCCCCCCCCCTGGCCCTCCCTCTCATCTTCTCCCTGCTGTCTTGCCGTCCTGTGTCTGTCTTCCTTCCGCGGTCTCCTCACACTTTGCCACGTACTCTGGCAGCACACACGAGAGCTGTCCTTCTCGATTATCTAATCGCAAGGGCAACAAAAAAAAAAGAAGAAACAAGAGAAGAGGAAGTGTCGAATTCGGGAGGTGAATTAAAGCCATCCATCCCCACCCAAGGCCTGCAAACACACATGTGTTGGCAGGTGGACACACAAGTCACATCAGTAGGTAAAAAGGAAAACACATGGAGGCGATCATGGGTGTTGGGTATCAAAGTAGCGGGTTTAATCTCTTCCATATGGGGGCTAATGCTCCTACTAATGCTGTCAGCTGCTATGAGCCGGTGGATCCGGGCGGGAAGAGACCGAAAACATTCCACCGTAACCAACAAGCCCGCAAAGAAACCACGGTCCCCCCCGTCTCATACAAAAGCCCCGCATCTCCCGCTGACCCCCCCACGGCCGTGTGACGATGCACCGGAGAAGAGGAGGAAGAAAGAACCCGCAGGTACAGTCCCAGGTTGCACCGAGTACGCACAGTGTGGACACGCGTGACGCACGGCTCCCTCCCCCTTTCCTCCGCGTCAGACTCACCTGAGCTCGATGGCCTCCCCCATCTCGCCGCGAGAACTCATCTCCCTCCCGAGAAGGACTGCAGAGGAGAGGAGACGAGAGGAAACCAACCCCTCCAGAAGAAGAGGAGGAGGAGGAGGAGGAGCGACGCGGAGCCGAGGTGACGCAGCGGAGGGCGAGGAGAGGAGAACCACACCTCCTCTTCGGGGGATTAACTTCGGGGAAGGGAAGGGAGAAAAAAAAAAGGAGCTCTGACCGCATTCGCAAAGGCACCCAAACAGCGTCCAGCTGCCCACGTGTCTGCTGCGCAGATGCACACAAGACACGTGCGCGCGCGCGCGCTAAAAATAAAAGACAAATCAATGTTTGATGCACCAAATCCTGGAGGAACGAAACGGAGTGGGTGGATAGAAAGAGAGGGAGGGGGGGGGCGTCATGGCTGCTGGTGACACACTTTTCTGCTGCACGCTGGTCCGGAGTGCAAAAGATTCCTTGTTGAAATTCTCTCTGCATCCCAACATAAACCAACGAATCACGTGCAAACGCATCCGGTGTCTGTATCTGCAAAGCAATGAGTCAGAGCTCAAGTGGGTCGCGTTGTTCACCAGTTTGGACTTTTGAAGACGTTTGTGGAATATGTTATTAAAAAAAAAAAATGTACTACCCACTTTTAGTACATTTTACCATTAAAGTCCAGCTACACGGGTCAATTTACATTCATCTTTTCAAAGTAAACTTCCATCTTGGCCCGAATGAACTCTTTTATTATGCGAAATACCCACAGAAGTGAGCAAGCAAAGATAAAAACAAGTGAACTTCCCTGTGAGGCCCGAACAGCGACCTCCTGAGTGGAGGCGGGTTTTTCTATCACCCGTCCCGTCCCCTCCCTCCCTCCCTCCCCCTCCGGTTGTGTTTAGCATGAAACGAATCACACGTTGCACCAAAAAGCATCCTGGGACATCGAGGCCGTGCTTCAGGCCGGCAGAGTGCAGGAAGCGGGAGACGTTCCATGATGCCAGCTCGTCCCCCTGAGCCGTTTGCCATGTTAACACCCAGAGCCGGGGATCTCGAGCGGAGGCCGAGGGGGGGAGGGTGGGGTCCAAACGTCCTCGCTGCCCTTTGCCGCTGCGTATTTGCAGCCGACTGGCAGCATTCGACGTCTCTCTTTGTGCTTATTGTCTGCTGTTGAGAGTTGTGACTGTGGTGTTGTACACCGTCCCCGTGGGGGAGAGCCGTCGAGGTATTTGTCGCAGGAGAACGGCTGTATTCACAAAACGCTGTGTAAAATAAACATGTACCGAACATTCACAAACAACGCTGTCGTTATTTAAAGGAGCGGTTTCTTCTCTACACCCGAGTTTAAGATGAACTAACGAGCGAAGAAAGAACTCCTCATTTTCATCTGCTTTCTATCGTCCTTCGGTCACCAACCATCCTCCTCCTCCTCCTCCTCCTCCTCTTCCTCCGGGAGAGAGCTGCACACAGAGAGAAGAGGAGGGTGAGACAGAAAGGAATCTAAAAATAAGCGGAGACCAAAACAAACACAGAAGAAGACAAAGGAGCCACATTGTGAACTAATCAGAGGAAGGTTGAGGAGATGTTCTCTCGTCAGTGCGAGTGGCTGTCATGTGACTTCTCTAACTCACTAACACCAGCCTGTTGGTATATAAAGTATGAACTGATACACACAGATACATGTGTATGAACCGTGACCGGCTCAGCAGCCCGGACGCACTTCCTGTTGGTCTGCGAGCTCAGCCACCAGAAAGAGCCGAAAGCACAGAAAGCAAATCACGCCGTCTCTGTAAATGTGCGTGTGTGTGTGTGTGTGTGTGTGTGTGTGTGTGTGTGTGTGTGTTGGATCTGAGACTCAGTGACTCCATACCAGCCTGTTAATTTAACCAACACTGCTGAATGTGAACGAGACACACAAACACACAGAGAAACACATCAAACCACAGCTAAGGCTCCGCTGCGTTACAAATACTTAATAATGAGTTAATAACATAACCAGTGGTCATATTTACCTCGTTAGCACGTTGTTGGATACACCAACAAACCGTAGACTTTATTCGTTTAAGTAACCGTAAAATTGAATTTTGCAATATAACAATCCTGCATGAAATGAATGAAATTCGGCTTATTTGCACCTGGAGAACCCGCTAAAAATGACATGAATGATATAAAAGATGAACAAAACAGCGGAGTCATTTCATCGTGTCTTTTCCTGGTGTCTTTCTCTCGTAGACAAAACTGATAAACTTCGCTTATCTGCTTGAGGAACAATTTATAAAAAAATATACACCACGTTAAGCATTATGATGTATAACAAACATTCTCTCTCAGCATCGTCAGGTTCACACGACCAAGAAGCAAAGTTGTGTTTTCTTGTTTGCTTTTCTGGAACTGAGCCAACAGAGGAAATTAAAAACTAACCACACTTCCAATGACATAACGTCCTGTAGCAAGCCGCATGCTTTCAGGCATCGATAGTAAAGCATGTGTGTGTGTGTGTGTGTGTCCACAAACCATGTAATGATAGTCTGCGTGGACGATACTTTTAGAGTTTAACTGATGCGAAACCCATTTATTAAACTCGGATCGCAACATCGACGGATAGTCAAAAGGTTTGAAACCAAAACGTTACGCTTAAAAAAAGAGTCTCCTAACCGCTGACAGACTTCACGTCACGAGTCGTAAGTAAATCCGCGTTATTATGAAGGAACAGACGAGTGCAGATTCAACCACACGTTGGTTTTCTGTCTGCAGGGAAACTCATTTCTATTCAATGCAGCTTGAGAATATTTCACAGTTTATACTCTAGATATCAAATACATTTGATAAAATCATCTCTGTTTAATCCGCTTATTTGACTGTATCTTCCTCCTTTGTTTTCTTATCTCTTGGTAGTTAATCAATTAATTCATCTTAATTAGACTCACAGATTTTTATTGTAACCTCTTAATGAGGCCGTATGGTCCATGAAGAGGAGGTATTTGGCAATTCCTTCTGGTTTGACGGTTCTACACATTTACATGTAATCATAATATTGCATCAGTGGCCAATACATTTAATTTAATTGCCAAATGTTACACTATTTAGTGTTGTTGCATGATCATTTGATAGTAAATCAAGTTTATATTTGGTTTTCTCTAAACACTGAGATTTTCTTGTCTTGTAACCGGTGGTAAAATGACACCATCAGATTTATTGGCCTGTAAAGTTCAGCCCCCCCCTGTGGCTCCACATGCTGCAGCACACTGCAGCTCATCATCCCCTCACCCCCCTACGAGGTCCACCGAAGTCCGCCGTCTACTCCGGACAGGCTCATTGACGTATGCCCCTGGTTATTAACCCCCCTTCTCTCCCTCCCCCTCTCCCCCTTCCTGGGGGGAGAGGGGGAGGTGTAGTTCTGTGTCAAACCACATTGCAGTAAAACTCACATTTTAACTCAACTCTCTCTCTCTTTCTCTCTCTAATCAACACGGCGCCGTCACGCTACGGTGGACACGCATACACGCCAGCACCATGTGGATACCACTGCGGCTGCTGCATGGCAACCGGATCCCATGGCAACCAGTGTGGGGGCTTTTGTGGCAGAGGGGAGAGGAAGAGGGTAAGAGAAGTGAGGACGGATCTGTGATGGGATCAGATGAGGAGAGGACAGTGACCCCCCCCCCCATCCTCTCTCAGCGATCTCCTCCTGGGAGTCGACGAGAGGAGATGGAGGAGAAGAACGACAGGTCAACCTGTAAACGTAAGAACCTTCGAGGAGGAAACACCAGCTGGGTATCGGCCCGGGGGAGAATGTTAAGAGCGGATAACTTTTTAGTCACTATCGGTGAAGGCGGCTGATGCCACGAGCTGTACAAAACCAACGCCGTAGCAACGGCGCCGTGGATGAGAACAACCACAGCAGTGATCCCCTGCTTCTGACATCGGTTACCTTCCTGGTTTAGCCTCATGCTTTGTTCCATAGCAACAATAATCAACAAGCTAATAACATAATATTTTTAGAATATCATCATTTTTCTACTTGTCTATTGTAATTGATAAATTATAGCATAAAGCTTTACATATTTGTCCCAATTTACTGACACTGTCTATGTACAAAACAATTACATTGACATGTGCAGCCCACAGATGGATGGATGGTGCTCATAGGGAGGAGAGGGGAGGAGAGGAGAGGAGAGAGGAGAGGAGAGGAGAGGAGAGAGGATAGAAGCCGAAGCGCTGACCTATGTTGCCCCTGCTGGACAGTAGGAGTATGACACACTGTCAGTGTAACAGTGTTCATTCCTGTTGTGTGTTGTGCGTGTGTGCCAACAACCAGTTCACTCTCTGTGACCTCTGACCTCCTCGTCAGATCTGCCCAGAGAGGAAAAGATTTCGCCACACACATCAACGGGGTATTGCCTCCTTGCTGTGAACCCACAGTCACGTTTCTTTGGGATATCCAGCGAAGTATTCATGCATAATTCATCTTACTATTAGCCGGGACTCTGAGATCAATAAGGCTTTTAAAGCTCTCTCCCTCTCCGATTGCCATTTTAACCTCCGTTTGTCTCAATTCCTAAACTGCTCACTGTTTGAAATTGACTAAATGTTGATATAATGGTTTAAATTGAACCAAAGTCCCCCCCCCCCCCCCCCTTACGCCCAAGAGCTCGCCCTGCATTAATGCACCTATCATCCATTTCCCCATCTGTCAGTCAATCTCCCCACTCGTTTGTTGTGTGACATCAACCATCGGTCCCCCCCTCCCTTTCGAATTTGCAAATCTCGCGGCGTTTTTCTTTGCGCTACAAAGGAAGCAACCATCGTAGCAACATCTGGCGACACAGAGGCCACCTGCACACAAAGAAAGATCATTTCTCTGCAGCGGTTTGGGAGTGGGGTGCTGTTGCAGAGAGACGAGAACGAATGACCTTCGCGGGGTGGTCGAGTCTTATCGACCGCCACTGAAACCCCCCTCTGGTCATGCAGAAACACGGGCCGGGGACATTGTGTGTAGAGATGCAGACAGACACACACACACACACACACACCGTGGTGGCGCTGCAGCACTGGTCTGACAGCCGATATCTGGAGTACCAATGGTATCAATGGGAATCGCTCATCGGTTCCCTTTCTTCTCTAGTTGAGTCCAAATGAGGATTTTTTTTTTAAAACTAAGTAGGTTTGTTGCCGAAACCTCTGGCAGAAAAGTATCCCATGTGTAGGTAACGTATGTAGGAGAGAAAGAACGAGAACCAGAAGAAAGATCAGACAGGTTTTAGAAAAGACAAATTTGGAATAAACGAATAAGAAGTACGGAATTGAAATGGACAGGAATAAAGGAATTAA